CAGATCCACCAAACCCAAATTGCTGTATTGTGCCCCCAGAGTTCTTAGGTGCTTCTGTTACTCACCATATTGTTGTTCACCTCATCCCTCTGTTCAGAGCGTTGCTCTTTGTCTCCTAGGCCATCCCAGTGGAGAGCGCTGTGGGAGGACTTGTGTGGAAGAGCGGGATAATCAGTGGCTGGGTGTCAGCTTGTCCAGGCAGCCAAAGGAGAGCGGATCTATTGTTGTATGTATGAACCACTGGGTCTGTGTGCCTGTTTGACTGCAGTCAGCTTCCTTGGGCTTCCATGTCCAATGCTGTGTTTATTTTATATCCATAGGCTTGTGGACATAGATGGAAAAATGTGTTTTACATGAAAAATGGGCACAGACTGCCACATGGTATTTGTTTTGCCATCCCTCCTGATTTTCGAACTGAGCTGAGCAGAAGAATATGCCCATGCTATATAGGTAAGCAGAATGTTTGAGTCCTTTTGTAGGGATGGGTGAGATACACAATTGAATGGTGCAGAGTTTGTGAAAAGCCTGTGTTGCTCTGAGCAGCTGTTCTGCAGCCAAAGGCTTGGAGGCTGAGAGCTGATTATATGAGCCCAGTTTGTGATGTAAAGATGTTTATCACTTAAAAGAAAACCTGCTTTCAAAAGGCAAAAAAAATGAATTGAAACAGGGCATCAGAATAGTTTTTTTTCCCAGACTGCGTTGCTGGAGGATGTGTGCTTCTCAGAAACAGGCCAGTAGAGGACATCCTTCCTTCCTTTACTCTTGTCATTTCTCTGGAGAGTCTCCCAGCAGAGCAGCAGAAATATCTGCGAGTGGTTGTTGCCATCTGCTCCTTAGCCTTTGATACAAAGGTGCTGCAGTGCCTGTCACAGTGTGTGTCCTTGTCCATTACTTGCCTTCTGCCAAGGCTGCTGCTGTGGCATAAGACCTTCAGGGGTTCTTCCTCAGAGAACTTGAGGAGCAGACTAAGAGTCACGACCTGAATCTCTCCATGCTTTCCCATTCTTATCAACCACCCACCCACCCAGGAGAAGGATCTTGTGCCCCTGTGCCTTGTCAGTGCAAGGATCAGCTGACAGTCTGACCTTTCTGTGCAGACAGAGTCATGTCATCAAATGTCTGCTGGCTTTGCAGACTGTTACAAGGGGTGGTGAAATCATGCTTTTATCTTTGGAGACTTGAAGTGAACAAATCTATGGAATGAAGGGAACCCTGATGGTAGGCAGTCAGCAAAGAATTGCAGGAAAACAGAGCTGAGACATTGTTGGATGGCTAGGATGAAAGCAGTATGTCTAAGACTGCCATAACACAAACCCTTCATGGCACCAGTGGAGCACAGGACAACTTCTATCAGGATACATAAGCCTGTCAGAGTATATAAGTATATATAAGCCTGAAATACAGAGTGGAGCAGTATCCAGATGTGGTGCTCAAACTATTTGGCTGTTTCGTTCGTGGAACAATTTTGAAAGTATAGCCTTTAAAGTCACAGTATTTCAAAGGCAGGTGTGATCAAGTGATACATAGTGCTTTGAGTTTGTTACAATGCTATATTGCACCTAAAGGCTATATAGTGGAAACCAGTGTTTTTAGTGTTATTACAGAGCTGAAAACCAACTTTTGGGGGGAGGTGTTGTTTAGTGTCTTTTTTGAGTTGTCTCAACTTGTGTTGAAAGCCTGGTAACAAAACTCTGGAACTGCATGCTTCTCATCCTTTTTAATATTTCTTGCCCATTCCCAGATAAGGCACAAAAGTTTGGAGAAAACCATGGGTCATGTCAGGCTGGAATATCTAGTTTTTACATTGAGGTGTGTATTAAAGATACCAAATGTCTCTCTGTTTATATACTTACTTTTATGTATAGTATATAAAAGTGCATATGTAAATGCAAATATCAACACCGTATTTTGTTGTGGGAGGGAAAAATCACTCTTCTAATTTCTTTTAAATTGAATCTTGCTATGACTTGCATGATAATTTCCAAGTAAGACTTTATTTTTTATTCTCAAGAATTCTTTTACACCTTACTACATCTTGGCACCTTATTGTTCATCTGGCAAAAGGACATGGAAATAGCGGTGGATGAAGTTTTATTATTTTATTTAATCGGTTTGATGTAACATTTATAATGCTTACCTTCTTGCTTTACAGAGTAATACTCTGTATTATTTAATCTCCATTCCACCCTAAAACTTTAATTTCTAAAAAACTCTTTCGAGAAGAGAATATCCTGATTGTTGCTCTATATTGTTGTTACAGTTCAAAGCTTTTAATAATGGTATTCTTACAAAGTCTGGAAAATATTATCTGTAATTTAGTAGTAAACCCTAGTGCTGAGCCAGATGCATCTCCAGTAGCATTTCACAGAATTCACAGGAGATCTAAAGAAGAACATTTTACCTGTTTTACTTATTTTCATTAATATTTCAATGTGAATAACATGGCTTTGTTTTACTTTTCTTTTAGGACTTAATTATAATGGGAGCCCCTGGATCATTTTATTGGACTGGTTCTGTTTTTGTATACAATACAACTGCAAATACAATCCACGCTTACACAGATTCAAATAACCAAGTGAAATCTGGCAGTTATCTAGGTACTTAAAATATTTAATACTTTACTAAAATATAAACTAAATAGCTGGTCTTGGGGTGAGTGCAGATTATTTGTCAGTGTTTTCACTATTAATCCCAGAAGCAAAAGTTCTAAATGTGTGTTCTGATTCTGTTAAATATTATTTATTTATAAGTCTTCCTTTCTGTTCTTTCTATGAGGAAACTTCTTGAGCAGTGGATTTCTATTCTTATCATCTCACCACTGACTTCTAACCATTTCTTGATTTAGAAAGTAGGGGTGTTTCTGGTTAGCAATGGTTTTCATTTCGTTCAAGTCTGAAATGCTGCCAAGAGCTTTCACGGAAAAAGACAGTGGTTTCACATATAACAGAAATATGAAAAAATTTTTACAGTGAAAGCTGCAAGCAGGTCTTAATTGTATTGCAGTAAGGGGGAGTATGCTATGATATTTAGAGACAAGCTTTCCTCCAATGTTTATTTTTTTAATTTTTTTATTCAAAACATAACTTAGTCTGGATATGTGAGAAGACAGACCTCATTTGTGAATGTCTGTAACCAAGGTCAAGTTCTACTCATGTACCTATATCCAAGTAACTAGCTGAGTTTAGTGCTACAGTTTGGAAAGGTTGATGCCAAAAAAGCAACAGCAACTTCAGTCTTCTCACTGCATACTGAGAAAAAGCTCATCTGTCCTTCCTGAATCCTGAGCAAGAATATTTTTGCTTGTAACCATTGGTTTTTGCATTTTCCCATTCAAAGTTCCGGCTCATGTGGATAAACATTTCCTGTTTCTGATTCCACTCTTCTGACAATGGGAAGTTGGCATATGTTATGAAATAACTATTGTGAAACACAGTCAACTGACTCAAGTCTAAGACTTCAGAATTCAGTTCTGAGCCTGCAAAGGCCACAGTGACTCTGTGGGGAAGTCAAGCAGAAGAAAGTCTGGGTGATAAAAGGGGATCTGACACGCAGATCCCTAGGGTCCACCAGTAGAACTTCTAACCTTTCACAGGACAAAAGAAAAGCTTCAGAGAATGGAAAGTTCCAGCTCTCCAATAATAATCAGCAGAAAAATACTGTACCTGTCTAGGGAAACGGAGTTTATTCCAGATTCACGCTTCTACAAGTATAAGAATGAGAATTTCTGTGATGAAGGAGTCAAATCATTGACAGTCAGAAGCCAGACACAGGCAAATAGGGACATAAGGGCTGTGTTGGGGAGAGGTTAGGGAAGGCCTTTCCACACATATGTGGTCTCTCTTTGTTACCTGAAATCAGCTGGAGTTTACTTTGCTCTAGTGATCTGGTGCATGTTGGCTCAGCAGAGCCGTATGTCTTCTAAACTCACCCTTCTACAGGAAAGTGAAGAAGGGCACCATACTCATCTGTGTGTCTTTACAGTAGCAGTTGTGATAAACCTGGAATTCTGCAGCTTCATGCTACTTTAACCTCTGCTTCCTTCCCTCCTAATAATAATCCTAGTGTAGATGAAAGAATTTAAAGGTACTTTCCTTCACCTCCCTCAGCTTCTGTCCTGTCTTTGTAGTTATTGAAGAAAACAATCTGTTCAGGGTTAGTTCTGTTACCAAACTTTTTTTTTTAGAAGTCTGAGTTTGTTACTCCCTTAAGTAATGAATAAAATTGTTCCTACCAAGTCTATTGTGACCAGTGTAATTCAAGCATGTAAGTGGATACAATTATCTACTTACCCTCTTCTTCCTCTGGTAGGGACCAAGATGTTGGAATCTTTATTTATATTTTTCATTAAACTGTTAAAGAATAATAATTAAGAAACTAGAGACTACAGGAAGTGGAGTAGTATTGTAGCATTTTCCATAAGTTGGAAAAAGCAAAGCTGTTTGTATACCAGACAACTGAAACAAAGAAGGACATTAGAAAGACATTTGTAATACATAACACTAGGTAATATTTCCTTGAGTACTTCAGAGTCTCTCAGAGAGTAGTAGCTGACTTCTATAAAAGGAATTTTCAAAGTTATTCAGTCTTTCGAATCAGCTGGCCCTGATGAAAAAGTAACCTTAGGCACTTAACAAACTGCCTTAAAGAAATCATAAAGTAGAAGACTGTTCCTTTTAGAAATCTGAAAAGGGCAAATAACGTTTCAGAGAACTGAACAACTGTAGTGATGGTAGAAAGGAGAAAACTATGGAGTTGGAAATAAAATAACATTTCTTTATGCATTTAAATTTAAAGGGTCATTTATGTGAGCTCCCCTTCCCCTGCCAAACATTTTAATACCATTAAAGAAAAATGAGGACTATGTGATTACTGTTTTGATGTATGTTTGGGGTTTTTGAAAGTTCTTAAGAATTTGTAATGTTTACACTTTAGCAAAATAAATATAACTAGAAAATAAATGTCAGAAGCGGCAAATGAAGGTTCATCCTTAATTTTTTATTGAGTAAATAAAAACTAGGTGTTGACCTTCAAAGTGATAAATTGCTCTGTTCATCTCTTTAGCTTAAAATATGAAAAGAGTGGCTTAATGAGAACTTGAATTGTAGGCAGTTATCTTCACAGATGAAAGATTCAAGGCTTGTTCTCATCTATCCAAGATGATTTTTCCAGTTTCTGCTGCATGCTGTGAACATCAGCAGTCATTCAGTAAATGCAAGAGTAGCAGAATATATTATCTGTGTTCCCTGCTTCAACTGAGCTGTGATGTATTCTGGAAAGAGTAATGATGAATTGTGCAGCTACAGTTTAAGGTGTTCACCTTTGTTTTGCAATTCTGTGTCTGGATGTCTGCACCAAAATATGGTCCTGTTTACGATTTCTCTCCACATACAGAAATGCTTTGTAATGTAGATTTATTTACAAAAGCTGATGTAATGTTTTCTCATTGTGTAATCAGGCTTTTGCAATTTGTTCCTGACATTTTCGTGTGTGTATCCATGGTGCTGTGCGTGTGTATGTGCACACAGAAGTAGCACTACATTTAATTTTTCTTCAATCCAGTTATAATAGTCAAAAAGTAACAACTGAATCAAGTACTTCCACATTGCAGTGCATGTACTTTTGATCCTTTTTATTTGTGTTAATAGTATGGGCTCACTGAACAATTGCAGAATATGCATTAACAGAAGATGTTTGGAATTTTTTTGTCCTTTGAAGTATGGCAGATAATTGAGTTCTTGGGAAGAAATGAGTGTTTCTGGCACTTTTTCCTGCTTGATGGAACTAACTATCTGTAGTGACCTTTTACTTCAAAAACTTTCTATTCCATTTTCATTGCTAACTTACATGAGGTCTGAATGTTAGACTCACAGTAATTTGTGGTGTTGACAGCTTTTATAAGGCATGCTCCCACTCTTTCTTTGTTATATAACATTTCTAGTATTGAATAGTGCATTTCTGATTTGCAGGATATTCTGTTGGAGCTGGACATTTTCTGACACCATCCAGTACAGAAGTAATTGGAGGGGCACCCCAACAGGAGCAGACTGGTAAAGTAAGGGATTGTCTATAATACTGGCTTGAAGACTATAACCCCACAAAAACACCCATGATCTTCCCATTTAGATGAATATATTAAAGACAAGTATCAGATATGACTTCTCATGGGGGAAAAAGTTGAAGAAGGAATTAGGGTAGGCAGTCTGGGTAGCATTGATGTGAACTATGATGTTAAAGAAAGGTGCAGGTAGGAAACAGGAGATAGCTGTAGTTTGTGATATTGTACATTGTTTAGCTGATTCTCTAGCACATGCTGTACAGAAAGCACTGGGAAGTATTTCAGATTACAGTTTGCTGAATTCCACTTGTATTTTCTTTTCATTTTAGGCATATATTTTTAGCAATGAGGGGCAACTAAATATTCTATTTGAACTAAGAGGTAAAAAGGTAAATCTTTCATATTATTTTTCTGTACCTTATAGCATCTAGCACATCTTCATCAAAATTCAAAAATAATAATGATTTCTTGTGTGCACACAGCTTGGTTCTTACTTTGGAGCTGCAGTTTGTGCTGTGGACCTGAACTCAGATGGCTTCTCAGACTTACTAGTTGGTGCTCCAATGCAAAGTACTATCAGAGAAGAGGGAAGAGTTTATGTCTATATTAATTCAGGTTCTGTAAGTATTTTCTCTTGAAACACTGCAACACAGCCGTTCTGGTTTAACAGGCTAAGAGGAAGAGTTTTCCTCTCTTCTTATCCTGTATTTCAAGATATGGAAAAAGCAACAGTAGAGCTGTGATGAGTACCCCAGGGCATAGCACACCCCCAGAGGCTGCAGTGTCAGCTGTAGCACAGTTACTCACACCAGAGTTGGAACTGCAGACAGACTGGGTTGGTTTCCTAGGAGCTGTAGGTGGCGGCAGCCTGCCACTGCAGCCCTTCCCAAGCTCTCCTCCACTACTGTGCTTCCCTTCCCACTGAATTGCCACCTGAAGAACAACCTTTTAAGCCCTTCAGAAATGAAGGAATGGAACATTTGCATGCAATTACTGGTACCAGTCAGGAAAGAGCCTAGTACTCCTCAGCTTTGCAAATAACGTGACTGGACAGGTCATGCATTAGAATAGGTTACTTCTTATTCTTTCTAAGTTTCAGAAGTGGAAGTGTAATCACTTTACTGTTCTTACACTAAATACCATTAAATATATTTGAAAATGCTTACTTCTACATCAAGGAGTTTGGTAGGGTTAAATGTTGGTATCCAAGGCAGTTTTTAACATTTTGAGTAATCTTCCAGGTCACCTGGAAGGGACTCTGTTAATGTGCCATTGTCTCTGTTTTCCTTCAGGGAGCAAAGATGGTGGAACTGAACATAGAGCTCAGCGGGAGTGACTCATATGCAGCGAGGTTTGGAGAGTCCATAGCCAATCTAGGAGACATAGATAATGATGGCTTTGAAGGTAAGAATGCAAAGAATACCTGGTGGGTTTAATTCTCTCTGATCATTGGAATGTCATGATAAATTGGAGGATTATGGAAGTCTGAGAATTCTTTTGGTTTGGGACTCTCTTTTCTGACTTGAGGTACAGCTACTTCAAAATCATTGATGTGCAATACCAAGAGACTAGGTTCTGTCTAATAAATTGCATGAGCATAAAGTGATAACATAATCTGTAGTTTTTGGTGCTGGACCTCAAATGGAATCACTAATCCTGTGTTAAATATCTGAGACAAAGGTTGGGGAACAATTTGGCAATTTTGTAGCAATCATAAACCCAAATTGAGTCAAAATCTGCTTCTGTGTCACCAGTAAGTACTAAATACATGGGAATATTAAAAACAACCTTCACATTAGGAGACTGCTGTGGAAATATTGAAATAAAAATTGTCTGTAATATTGAGAGTGGCAGTAGGAAAAGAAAATGTAAGGAAAAGGCTGGAAGCAAAATATAAAGAGAAATTGGGTAATATAAAGCATTTTTCTCTAGTAATTAAAAAGCAGAGCACAGCCAACTTCTTCAATGATCTAAACCATCAGTATCAGTCCTGTAAAGATAATGGTGTATGTGTTGGTATAGAATCTGACCTCAAGAACGTGTGTGTAATTTTAACAGGCACAACTTGACTGTCCCATTTTCATCTCGCCAGTAGAGAGACGTATAATGTGCTTTATGTGGTTTAGTCACCACAGTATGGATTCAGTCAATGTGGATTCAGAGAATTGCTCTGTAAAACTAACAGTCAGAAGCTTTGCATTTCTTGTGATTTTGGTTTGGTGCAGCATAAAGTATTTCTGATCTGCAGACAGTTCAGTTTTTGGTTATTTGTAAATGCAAGTTCACAGTTGTTAATAGTGACTTTCAAGATGGTGTAAATAATCTCCCCATCCCTCTCTCCACTGTTTGGTTAATAACCTCTGGCTTTTTGAACCATGAGAGTTTTTGGTCAGGCCTGTTGAGGATGGATTGGTGAGTAGGTGCTGAATGAACATTCGAGTTGCCACATCCCTCTGGGATTAGGTCATCTAGGCATAGAACATATCCCTTTGTGCCAACCAGCTACCTTCATGTCCTTGTTAAATGCCTTTTCAAGCTTATTCAACTGTTACAGACATTTCGTAGAAAAATAAATGGTTCATTTTGGGCATTGTAATAAGAGTATTTGTATTTCAGTGACTTAAACCATGTGGGAAGAACAGGAAAATCATCACTGTTCCATAAATACAAGGCGCTTTTTTTTTCCTGTTTTTTTTAAAGATCATGATAATTTTGCCTTCTTTCATGGCAATCTTTTAACTTCTTAAGGGTCAAAATTAGTATTACTAGAAATAGACTTCATCTTTAACAAAATGGCAGTATTTGATTGCTGCTTTTCTCACATAGTAATTAAGGTAGAAGCAGATTACTGAGATGGTCTGTGTTGTTTCTGTTTGCTTTATATCTGTGTTCCACACTGCCTTTGAATTGAGGCAAGTAAATCTGGTCTGGCATTGCATGCATCATGATTTGCATTTCTTCAACTGATCCGTGGTCATATTTACTAGTCAACAGTTCATTGCTAAATTGCTTTTCCACAGATGTGGCAATTGGGGCTCCACAAGAAGATAATCTAAAAGGGGCTATTTATATATACAATGGCAGGGAAGATGGAATAACACCATCATTTTCACAGGTATGATTTTTCAATGCAAAATACCCAATCCAGAAAAACCCCAAGTTTAAATCTGAGAGGGTTTTCCCTTCATTTAACGGTCTGACCATCTGAAGTACATTAAAAGACGTCAGAAAATGTTTACGTGGTCTGTGAATTCCAGTTATAATATAACTTGTAACAGAGAAAAAATTGTTTTGGGGGCTTTAGAAAAGGTTTATGGGATTTAAGTTCAGCAGCAGGATTGTTCATTAACATTTTTCATTGGAAATTGTAATTCAGAGATTAGCTTTCCAAGACTAATTTTCTCTTATACGTTTTTCTCCTCAGAGAATACAAGGACAAGAAGTCAGTAATTCTTTAAGCATGTTTGGACAGTCCATATCAAGTGGCATTGATGTAGATAACAATGGTTATCAAGGTAAACTAAACAATTTTGTTTATTTTTAATTTTTAAAATAATAGAAATGCATAGGGAACAGTCTTTCTGTGCTAATTGATTACTTCTAACAGAAGCAGAATCTGTCATTGAGATGACATGTCACATTTCATATTTTAGGAAGAAAAAAGAAGAGGTAAAGCTGAGGCCAGGCAGTCAATTTTCACGGTCATCTAACTATTATTTAAGGACTGAGAACAATGTAATAGTGAGATCATAGTGCACAAGGGGATGAGAAATGTGGTTTATAATTTTAAAGACGTCTCATCTACAAATGTCACAATGAGCTGGTTTGGGCACTGGAAGCGTGTTTGTTGTCCAGACTATTGTGCTAACCTAAATATATTGCTGGCCTTCCCAGAGTCTGGATTTTGACAGGAATCATGGGCTCCTTGACTCTCAGTCTGAGTGAACAATACTTTAACCTCACTTAGGGCTCGTGGCATTGAACTAAGAGCATTGTGGAGTTCCTGTGGCCATGAAAAGTAGTGCTAATTTGGTGTAAAGCAACTTAGCTGCCAAGTATATATTAATTGCTTTATACATATCATCAAAACATTTTGACATTTTGCAGATAAGTCTTAGGTCAGGTCAGGTATGTCTGTCCTGCTCTTGGGGATGTAAAAGCACAAAGTTACCATGAACTGCATGTTGTATGTTTTGGCTCTGTCCACAGAAATGTTATCCAGGTTAATTTGTAATGTTGCCCTAAAAGGTAAGTTACAAGTAGTCTGCTCTCAGGTCAGCTGTTGGTTACTAATTTGGCAGTCATATCTCAGGCCCTTATATCATTTAGTCATCTAACAATTCACTTTTGCTACTTTCTTTGAGAGGTACATACATTCTCTATATTTCTTTCCTTCTTGCATGAATAGGTTTTAGTTAGCTTGGAATAAAAGAAATACTTTTCTCTCTCTCCCTCTGTCTGTGTATAATTTCAAACATACAACAGACATAAGCAAATCAGTTATATATATAGAAAACAATATGTATGTGCATGTATAGCAATAGTGAATATCTGGATGGAGAAGAAGGCAAGTATCTCCTCTTTAGCCGAGTTGTCCTTCAGTATCAGCCACTTAAATGTGGAATAGAAATCAAATCATCACTTTATCAATATCTGCAAGTCCAGCAAATTACCATGCAGCATTTATAGACAGCGGACAAGTATTTGAGGAACTGTCTTTGTATACTAGCATATCCCTTCTAATAAATAAAGGGCAAATGGTGTTTTAATGCTGACCAAAAGGTGAATATGCTATAAAATGCTTGTACCTACGAAGTAATTCCCATTGACAAATTATGCTTATTGATACATTCTTTTTGTGCAGATGTAGCAGTTGGTGCATTTTTCTCTGATTCTGCTGTGGTGTTGAGGTAAGATTGCTGCATTTCATTTCTTTTGAAGACCATACAATTTAACTCTATTTTTTAGTGAAATTTATTAAAACTCAGTAGTTTAATTTAACCTCATTCTATTCTTGATGTCTTGCACTTCAGTCATTAGGCTCTAGAAGGTTCTGCAAATGAAACATTTAAGTAAACACATTGAAGAAATAAAAATATCATTCTGTAGCTTTTTGAGGTAACAAATAATGTGAATACTACTATTTGAAACTATCTGAAAAATGCAGATAACTTTAAAATTATAATTCTAAAATAAAAAAATTGATTAAATTGATTTTCAGGAATGGTTGGTTTTTGCAGAGATTCTGTAAGCTATATCTGAACATTATTTGTGAACACTTACTCTTTTCTATTCTTAGAACAAAACCAGTGATAATTGTTGATGCTTCTTTAAAGCATTCTAATTCAATAAATCGAACTAAGTTAGAGTGCATAGAAAATGAGCAGCCTGCCACCTGTATGAATTTGAATATATGCTTTACCTATAGAGGACGAGAAGTACCTGGTTATATAGGTAAGTTAGTGGAAAAATAATCCACTATATGTATTCATTTTAAATGCACCTATTTATAGAATAATGCTACTGGTATTTAATAGACCATTAATCTGACTTTAGTATAAAATGAAAAGCTGAAAATGTGGATACCTTTTTTATATCATGATTACCCTATAACATCAAGCTGTTACACTTCTGTTCAATGTGGAATAACAGCATATCCCTGCTAGGACTGCTGGAGTCAGGCATGGACCAAACCAGATGGGACTGCTGGAGGATGGTGCCTTTCACCTAGCAATAGAGAAAAAACATTCCTTCCCAAGCCAGCTCAAGCAGCTGAGCATGCCATTGTGAGGCATTATGTGAAAGAGAGGGAGTCCCACCAAAATTACTGAAAAAGAAATCTTGTATTATATTTTATAGAATGCATAATTTGCTCTTGGCAAAAAACTGGTATTGCTAGAAGTGGTATCTATCAGAGGGGATATTCATGGTTATTAATGGAATTAATTTAAAATAATTTGCTGATTAAATTTTACTATATTGCCTGAGTCCTTTTAACCTACTTGTCATGTGCTATTTGTAAACTGCTAACAGCCCTGCAAGTACCTGGTATATAAAATTTAATTGCTCAACTCTTCTGTGTGAGAGCAGACAATAACATTTGGGAGCATGTTACAGAGAACACATGCAGTGATGAACTGTAAAGTTACGTGTTTTAATCTTTATCAGGTCTTTTGAAACTCATATTCATTTTGAAAGATGAGCAGTCAAACTGGTCACCCTTGCTGGACTTTTACATAAGACTTTTTAACTTAAAAAGGGACTAGTAGAAATTGTAGATAACTCAACCCTTGGCAAAAATTTAGAGCTAATAGGTCTGTAATGCTCTGAAACTTGCTTGCAACTTGTTATAGCAATTAATGCTAACTTAAGTAGAAAAAACTGAAGTTAAACAGCAATTGTCAGTGGTAGTTGACTGAAGTGTTTGTTGTAATCTACTGTCAGCCCTGTAACTAACGGAAGTGGTTTTTCTATAAATAGATTTTGATAGAAAATAGAAATACAACCTGATGATCTATTCCTGATATAAAAGCACGTATCAGGGAGCAACCATGAAGCAATCAATTTTCAGGGTACGAGAAGTTTTTATTAGGTATGGATTTGTGTCAGAGTGTTTCTAAGCAGAGCATTTTAAAATGGATGTTACAGAACATACTTACGGAAGCATCTCAGAAATTGTAATTTCTACCATAAATTCATTAAGATTGCAACAATGAAAGATTTTTTTTTTTTAACGTTTATTTTCCCTGGGTTTAATTTTGTAGTATTGCTTTATAATCTGAGTGTTGACGTGAACAGAAAAGAGAATACACAAGCAAGATTTTATTTTTCCTCCAATGGAACATATGATACAATCTCAGGAAAAGTAAAGATTTACAGCAATATTACTGCCTGCAAAGATCATCCAGCATTTATGAGGGTAATGTAGTTTTCAGTATGTATTGTCTTGTAAATCCTTTGTTCTCCTTTGAAAAGCAGACCTGCTGCAAAAGGACCTATTCTGTGTACAATTGCATCACATCATTTTGGAAGTAAAATATTTGTATTCAGAACTTTCACAGTTAATATATTTTAATTCTGATGCTTTCTTAGCTTTCTCTGGAGAATTCAGTGGGTCTGCCATCTCTTACATTGGTGAGAAGATACATAATAATAATAATAATAATAATAACCACGGTGATTAAGTTGGATCATGAGCATTCTTGAAATTTTTTCGTCATTTTTATGGATAACAGATCATACATAGATTGAGGCTTGTTTGAAGAAACCATGAAAATAGAACATTCATATTCTGCCGAACATTTCTGATGGAACTTTTTTATGTACTCCTTAATGCAAATCTTAAAACCTGTAATTTTTATGTTTTGTCATTTGTAACTATTTCAAAGAACACGTGTATGGTCTTGCTCCTGTTTTTACTGTGAGTAGATAAAGTAGACTCAGCTAAAAAGGAAAGAAGCATTCCTGATTCATAGCAAGTGAAATGAAGACGATTGCTAGAAAGGTCTGTAGTTCAAGGTTTATATGTGGAGTGCTTTGTGAATTTGCTGCAAGGAGCCAAAGGCTAGCAGGGTGTGAAGAAGAGCATTGCTTGGGCTTGCTTGATTTTTTTTTCCTTCAAGAAATGCAGCACTCACCCATAATCTGAAGGTGGAAATGGAGGTAGCAAAAGCACTCGTGAGAGTTCCACGAATGAGTTTAGAGCTGAACAAGATTAAGAATGTGCACTGTGCTGAAAAAGGGATCTCTGCTTACAAACATGAAGCCTGCAGAGATATGTCTCTCTCCTGGACCAGATTAGCAGTGAATGTGGTTACAGTTCTCCCTCTGTGATGGTGTAGAGACAGCTTTGCTGTAGAAAAATCTGCTGACAGAAGTGCTTCAGAGGAGAAGCCACTGAGGCAGAAATTCTGGCAGAATTTCTGGAGGCTGTTGGAGTCATGCAGGGTGTCAGCCAGGGAGGCTGTACCAACACCAGGAATAGATGGCACTGGCTTCTGGTTTCTGCAGAAGTAGAGTTTGATCCAACAGCCACCATCCTTTCAAACTGAGCATGGTACTGACCCACAAGTAAGCCAGTAAGAATCTGTAAGATCTCAACTACAAACGTAGTGTCAAAGAGGCTGCTGCCCTGGAGGGAATGGACTGTTGTGTTCATGCTTGGTGTATCCCTCTGAAAGATGAATGAGGGACTTGTCTTGAAAGTGGAAAAAAACCTGTAATCAGGACAAGGACTTTTTTAAGGCCATTCAATTAACAAGGACAAACTAATCACTTTTACTTTCTCAAACATCTTAGAAGGTTGTCTTCCAAAACAAATATTTTGGAAGAACTTTGAAGTCCTAAACCACAACAAACAAACAATAAAAATCAATGGACACAAAGGAACCGTGTTTTATTATACTCAATAAAAACAGATTTCTCTCCTGTCAGATCTTATCTACAGGGGAAGAGAGGGAGTATTTAGATGTAAGGAGAAATAAGGGCAATAAAATAATGGACTAGTTTGCCTAGCCTTTTCTTTAATATCCTCAAGGTAGCAATTCTGTGACCTTTTGAAACGAACATCTATTGAGGTGACTAATGCAGTTGATCCTGCACAAAGGCTGGAAAATAAATTTTATTTTCTGCAGCTATGAAAAACCTGCAGGGAAATATTCTTCCATGTATTTTTCTTCTTCCTTGGTTTCCCTTACCTTTTGTTTGTGACACGATTAGAAGCCAATTCTTCATCATAAAGCTTCAGGGTAGAAAGGAAAGCTTATGTTACTTACTGGAAAATTGCCCAGATGCATCTTAACTGATAGTTGCACCTAAGTGAATGTTGCTTGCAGGAGCAGTGGCAAATTGCCACTTTTTAAGAGTTCTGTAAACCAGCAGAGATGTGATTGACAGCTGACCTTGTACAGATTGCTGTACCAGCATTAGCAGGTATTTGTGTAGGAGGAAGGAATTGATTTGCCTCATCACTTCCTATAGTCCATCATTAGGGGGATTTTTCCTCCATAGAATTCAATATTCTTTTCAGTTCTTAATTAATAGCATTATAAGCATCTCCTTCCACCCACTAAGGTTTCTGTACTTGTATGAAACTCCTAAAGTTAAGTAAGTGTGAATGTCTGTCAAGTACAGTCCTTGCAAGAGACAATATAAATTTTGTGTATTTTGAGTAAAGGCTAATTAATAGCTAATTAGTATAATGGCAGCAATATAAAGCAGATGCAGAGAAGACCTTGTGGAAAATTATTATGAATTAGATAATATGTGATTTGGCCAACACAAGCTTGCAGATAAGAATTAAAATAGTGGCCATGTGGAAGAACAATCAGTGTCTGTCTATCCCCTACACTTAGGGAATAATTTAATCAGGATTGTTACTGTTGGTGCTTCAAGCTGTTCAGTTTTCACAAGTAGGTAATTTGGGCTCTGATCTGAACATTCCTACACAGGCAGGGCTTGTACAAAATAGTCATTTATTGAGGAGTTCAATCTTTTTAATACAGACTGGGAAATAAAAGGGGCAGAAAAATAAAATGCAGTTGCCACTTGATTTAGTTGTACTGTGGGAGAACTTTTGATTTCTTACCTAAATACCCATTGGTTTGTCTGGCCTCATTCCACTGGTTAACTTTCTCCATTTTAGCCAACTTTGCCTATTTTTCTACTTGGGCAGTTCAGCCTTAAATGAGTGTGTGAGGCAGGATTATAGACAGAAGTAGGCTCGCTGTTCAGTAAGATATCTCCTCCCAGAAGAATCATTCATTCTGAAATGCCTGATGCTGTCATTGAACACAGTATGATTTTATGCATTTCTGATTTTCTCCTTCAGCAGCAAAGATGTCTGGAAAAGTATGTTAGCCATATGGAATTATTTTACATGTGAAAAATAAGTTTTGCTGTTTCAGTGACTTCTAGGCAACCTTGTAACTTTAAAACATAAGCACACATGTTTTGTCTTATATGATTAACTCATTAGGTTTCCAATTTTCATAGAAAGATGTAAGGGATATCTTGACTCCTGTACATATTGAAGCGAGTTATCGTCTGGGCCATCATGTTCTGCAGAAAAGAGATGTTCAAGAATTTCCATCACTTCAACCTGTTCTTCAACGCAGGAAAGAAAAAGATGTTATAAAAAGCAAGGTTAGTGTATGAGTTCTCTTTTTCCAACGCAGTGAGTAAATATGAATGTTTTAATCTCCAGTTTAAAAAAGCTTCACTGATTCATAGCATGCAAAGGAATGCATTTTCCAGACCAACATGTAGGGATAGTGTCCTGATATTAATTAATAAACCAGAATGCTAAAAAAAATGCCAATTTTTTTGCTAAAAAAAAAATCTTTGCAGAACTTGTATACAATCTGTATTATGATTTAAAATGAAAAAGGTATGTGCAGGGAACTTGCTTGCCAAATATAGTATTATATACCTCAGAACACACATGTATGAAATTCACTCTTTGAAGTATCCATTCTTTTTCAACTACATAGTATGAGTCACTTTCCAATATAAAGTTGTAGTTTAAAATTATTTCTGTGTTAAATACACAATATCATGTTGGTTTTAATCTTGAGATGTTGACTTTGCTGAAATATTAGTTCTGTAAAGGTACTGCAGGTTTTTAAACACATGGTCTACGAGGGGAAAAAAAGAGTATATTCTTTATCCTTTAGTAACTATGAAATTAACTTTTTTCCTAAAAAATCCCAACTTATTATTGAGAGACTTTGATTTTAGTGAAAATCAGAACATGCTGAATTTTTAACTTTTCACAATGGTAAGCTCCCCAGAAAAGTGGTCAGAGCACCAAGCCTGTCTGAGTTCCAGAAGTGTTTGGACAATGCTCTCAGGCACAGGCTGTGATTTTTGGGGATGTCCTGTGCAGGGCCAGGAGCTGAACTCAGTGATCCTTGTGAATCCCTTCCAACTCAGCTTCCTCTGTGATCCGTGTAACTGAGATGCAGTTGGCCATCAGAACTCCTGAGATACGTAAAATCCTCTTTTAAAAGGCATGCTTTGACTTCTCATTGTCATTCAAAATTTTGTTTTAGAAACCTCAGAGTTACAGAGAAAGAAAGAGAGAGAGTGATATACAGTGACATACACGTGCTCTGTAGCACATATTGATAACCAAGACAAGGACACCTGCAACTCACGGTGTCTCTGCTCTCGTCAAACCTTACTAACAGTAGGATTAGTAAGGGTTGTGTAATTAAACTCTTGCAAAAATTAATGTGCTATATTACAGGAGAGACTGCACAGACATCAGTTCTGGATCATCTAAAAAATTCTGCCCTCTTATGTACTGCTGTAAAAATTGTCTGAACATTCACCCACAGGTTTAACTGTGACAGACTGAGTCTGGAATGCCTCCCCACTGTTACTCTGGATGCACAGAATGTGTTTGGAAAATGGAAAATCATAACCTGATTGAATTGTATGTTAGCAGTAAGAGGTATTAGACACTTCCCAATGTTTAGTTACTAGGCAATGGCTTTATTTCTCTAGAAATACTGTTACTCACTATAGGAAGCATAAGACACTGAAGTGCCTTTTTTTTCAATTTGGCTTTTACAGTTTATTTTTGCAAGATTTTGCTCCCAAGAAAATTGTTCGGCTGACTTGAGAGTTTCTGGAAAAGTTATTTTTCCAACGTAAGTATAATGTAGCTTTCATTTTTTTTTTTACAAGTTTTAGGAAGATTTTATTCAAATTATTCCTTAGTCTTTTGTATAAAAATAACAGTAAACTGCAAATTCTCAGAACTCCCTGAGAAAAAACAAAGAAGTAAAGCTGTGCTTAGTTGAAGACTATTTTTAAATAATAAATCTTTCGGGAACTGTAACAGAAATTTATATGATTGAAGTACTGTTACTGCATAATTAGAAGATTTTGCAGCTCATTAAATACATATTCACAAAAACATAGTGTTCTACACTTCATATATAACTGGGCTAAGATAAAACTGCATGATGTATACTCAATATGCAGACATCATAACTATTGTAAAATTGACAAGCTCTTGGTTATTTCTGCTGCTCTTTCTGGATATACTGTAATTGCACTGTATGAAGTCCCAATCAGCAGTACAAAACTGAAGATGTGATGTTCTTAAATACAAGAGCTACTTAATTGTTTTAAGTTGTATTTTATCATCACAACCTTTTTTTTTATTGACTACTAGATTTCAAAGTAAGAAATATAGGTGAGCAGCAAGAGGAATTGTACCTGTTGTGAATCTCAGCTATTTAGATATTTTACATGTAACTTGTGTCATTCATCACTTTTAAAGTTGATTCTATTTAAATCAAAACACTAGGTTGAACAACCTAAAATGGCATCAAAAGATGCTGACAGTCACATAATGCACATTAATCACACCTGTGTGATCCTGAGCACCAACTTTGTCATCTTCAGAGATGTCAGAGTAAGATGAATATCCTTCTGCCCATTTTAACATGTGGCCTGTAGCATGAGTCTTAAGCCCTTTCATTTTCATAGGCTGGATGGTTATTTATTTAAACACTCATAAACTTTTCAGAAAGAATGGTTGTGCAGCAAAATTTTCATTCATGACATTAGAAATGCAGTTTTGTAAGTACTTCCAAGAAAGGAAAACAAATTGCAACATACCTGCTTGACATTAGGCACCAGCAGCAGATTTGCAGTGTAAATAAATAGTCTAAATATCTTGATAAAGTGTGAAGTATCACCTTAATTACCTTGTGCCCCTAGAATCTCGATTAAAAACTAGTTAGCTGTGAAGTGATAATTTATTTTGTCTAGACAGAATGCATTCATTATCCTTGAAGAGCAAAGCAAACACCTTTGGTTTTAAAAGAATGAAATCAAATAGGGATGGCAATGTAATGCTTTATTTACTGAGTAACAAGTCTTCATGTATGCACTACTGTGTTTTGTTTAAATTGCTTAGATTTTGGCCTGCTCTGTAAATTTCTAGTCTGCATCATGCATTTTTTAATGGAGAATGAAATATGATTACCAGGGAAAAGCTCTAGTTCAGCTTTGTTGTAGTCCCAGATGTGCACCTGGTGCTTTTGTGTATTTGTGTGTTAAGCTGGGAGGCATCTTTGTGACAGCATATTGTTAATGAGCTTGGCTTTAACATGGGTAAGAGGAGTGAGTGGTGGGTATGTAAGTACTAAAACAACGTTCAAATTTAACCTAAACTTGACAAGCTACCAAAATGTTAACATTGTGTTTTTCTTTAATTTGCCTTTGTCTTGGAACCTATCTGCTTATGCAGTGCTTTTGCCTTCTGTTGCTTTTATAAGTGCCAGCTTCTTTCCCAAAGGTGTTCGGTGACTAATGCTTTGGTTTCAAGCCAGAATATTTGATAAATGTCTATTTCTAGGCACCCTTTCTACAAGTCTTAATTAAACTTTAATGTCAAGCTGAAGTTTACTTTTAGCCCCTGGTAGGGTGTCTGTACTTGTAACATGATTATAAAACATTACATAGATCATAAGAGAGGCATATTCACTCTGCCCCTCTTCATAGTAACTCAATCCCAGATCTTGAGTGCAGAGAGTGAATGTTGAGATAATGTCTGAAAACACTGTAGCAGTGATAATTGCTATTCTGTAAAGAAAAGGACTGGTCTTGTAAAGGCCAGAAGCACAACTGGACTGATGGATGACAATTTCCTTGTCTCTCATTAACCACTTCAGGCTCTAAGGGGTGACCATCAAATAACTGGTCTCATTCCTTAGTTACAGAATTGAGTAAAACCTTCCCTTACATCTCCAGCTGAGCTTTGTCAGAACCAACTGAAATCACCCAAAAGAGCAGCTTTGCCTACAGGCTGTTTCTAGAATCACTTTCCATTTACATGATGATAATTATTTTTATAGGCCTCATGACAAGAAAGCCTACCTTGTTGTTGGAAGTGTGAAGACTTTATTGTTGAAGATTTCTCTGCTTAATGTTGGAGATGATGCATATGAAACTGTCCTCCACATTCAGATCCCTAAAGGTCTTTATTACATTCGAGTTTCAGAACTGGTAAGAAAAAAAAAATCTCTCAAACAGTAATCCTTTGATATTTTTCTTTTTCACCCAGGCGTTTTTCAAATTATGTTTATGAATTGTTGCGTTTCGTTAGATACTGAACCTATGTCCCTTCATCAAAAGCTGCCAGAACATCAATTTTTAAGTTCTTAGACTTCTAGCTACCTAAATCAGGTGCAATTTAATCAGTACAGACGACTTACATCATTTTGGTAACAATTAAAATTAATTTTTTTAAAAGTTTTAAAATTATTCCAGGATGTTATGGCTGTGTTTTGGCTGATGATCATGTTTTCAGTGATCACAAAGAACTTATCAAATCTGCTTTTTCCCAAATACACAGGCTTATAAAAAGTCATAAATATTAATTGTGCTCTTTTTCTGCCTTTTAAAAATAAATGTTCTCCTTGTAGAATCCCCCAGATCCACCTTTGTGAGTTGGCTTTTAACGGGGGTGGGTCTGGGTCTGGTGCATGAGCCTTAGCTTCAGTAAAAGCAAGAAGCAGATGAAGTAATTGATACAATAATCAATATAATTTGTTATGTTAAAGTGGTCATGGGTGTCCTGGATATTGGCATCAGTGAAATAACAAACACCTGGTTCAGGAAATATAAAGCACCCAATTTTAATGTGTGCATGTAATTTGAAGTGTCTGAAAAAAGAACCCTTTTTTATTTTAATCATTAGTAACTTGTCCTTTATTTTAGGAAGAAAAACAGATACATTGTGCAGTATTAGATAAAGAAATTAATGCAGTGACACTTGAATGCAGTGTTGGCTATTTATATGTGGATCACAACTCAAAGGTAAGCTGTAAATGAAGTTCTTAGCTGTAAAAACACTCTAAATATGTTATGAGGATTTTCATGGAGGGGAAAAAAAATCTCTGAATCTCTTCTTCATTCCCAACTAAAATCTCTTATCATGTTGGTATCTGTTCCTCCCCTGCTACTTTTAAATGAATTGCTTAAACACTCTCTGGAATAATTCATTAAGGGACAATAGTGTTTGTATTAGGCATTGCCTGATTGTGCTTGGCTTCTAGACAAGTGAGCTGACTAATGCCATGGACATATGTGTTAGGTCAATTGAAAGGGAGTAGAAGACACATAAAGCAAGTATTTCCTTAGTTCTGAATATTTCAGGGCAGGAAATTCTAAATGAGCTTAATAAAATATTTGCATTGAAACTGTGTCAAGATACACTGTCATTTAATATAAGGAAAAATTTATTTGTTCTACAGTTGGATTTCAGTTTCCTCTTGGATGCAAGCTCATTAACCAGGGCAGAAGAGGACCTCAACATCATCATTAATGCTACCTGGTAAAGTCTAATAAAAATTGCTTAATGAAAAATACTACTAGCTTTGGAAAACAGATAACTGGAAAAGCTTAGCAAAGCAGGATTGCAAGAAAGTAAATTGGTTGCAAATCAAATAGAGAAACTACCAAAAAATGGTGATAGATATTTAAATAATTAGTAGGTTTATGCCTGTAAAAAGGTGGGGGACATTAATGCCTGATATGTTGTTACCAATTAAATATTTTTATTTTAATAAGCTGAAAGGTTTAGTATTTTTTACAGAAATAGTGTATAGATTATGATGATGCCTTCAATACGGATTTTTCTCTCTTTGCATTTTTGTAGTAAAAATGAAGATGGGAACATGTTGCTGGATAACATGCTAACTTTACCTATACCTCTAAAATATGAGATGGAGTTAACTACTCATGGGTAAGTCACCTATTGGTATTACCTGCACATCCACAGAACTGTTGTCTTGTTACTTTTTAAAATTCACACAGTTTTTAAGCAGAAGTGTGACATTGCAAAAAAATCTTGGGACTGAGTTGGCACAGCTATCCTGGACTCTGACCCAGACACTTGTAAGAGGTTTTTTTTCCACTACTGTGAGATAAGACCACTGGTATCTGTGGTTGAACTTGTCTCTAAGCAGACTAACGTGTTTTAAAAGTGGAATATTTTTTAGAGAAAGATATATTTAATAAGAGCATAGCAGATCCTCAGATTCCTTGTTAAACATGAACCATACTCTGGGTTTGTTGTGGGGCATTCATGGAGTGTAGCTTTGGGTGAGGAATTATGACTTTTATGATTCATCTGCCTTTTTCAGATGAAAGAGTACAAATGTAGAGGTTTCTATTCCAAAGGCAATAATTTCTCTCTGTGGTCCTAGATTAACTTAAATGCAAACTTGGGTGTTTTCTTATAGCCAGTCTTACTGGAGGTAGCATGGAGAAGAGAGTTATGCTAATAATATATAGGAATTCTGTTTATTAACAGTTTCTAAACCATTGTAGGTTTGTGTCACCAACTTCATTTGTTTATGGAGCAGAAGACAGAGATTCACCAGTGACATGTATGAAGGAAAATATCAATTTCACTTTCCACGTAAGAGTTTTCCTTTGTAAACCCTGTCATCCTTGTTTTGAAGGTTAATGTTTAGTGCATATAATGCCAGTCTAGACAGTCAGTAAGGAAATTTTTAAGAGTACAAGGGCACCGTGAGTAATTTTTGTGCATTAGTGATGGAAAGTTGCTGCTAATCCCTCTTAGAACACTTTTTTTTTTGGCCTGGCAAATTTTCCACTGAGTGATCAGAGAAAAATTTCCTAACACAAGCAGGATTGACAGTAGTAGAGCAGTCTTGAATTGCCACTTTTTCCTTTCAGAAACCCTTCAAAAGGAATTAGGAGTTTCTTATAAGAGTATCTATAGCATCAAATTTGTCTGCAGTGGATTAAAAGCAGGAGTTTGGACATAAATCTCTCCTAGTTCCTTTTGCATACTCTCCTGGCAGGCAGTCTGCATGACCTCAGGTACTCAGCACAGATTAGCACCACTTACTCATCAGCTTTGGAGGAGGGAAGGGTTCAGTAAGCCCACAGAATGAATGAACAAAATGTTAACACTCCTAGCACAATCCACTTTTGTGACAGCATAACAGAGCAGCTGCTACCCCATTCTGTGCAGTTTTATGTATTTATATATGTATGGTTTTGTTCCTTGAATAGCTACTCTTGAAGCTTTAACTGTTGAACTCTTCACCTCTTCCCATAAGGTTATCAATGCAGGACCAAGCATGTCTCCAAATACCAACTTAGAGATAATGATACCAAATGCTTTTCCACCCAGGGACTCCAAATTATTCAACCCACTGGATATCAAGGTAAGCAAAGGTTACCTAATGTATTTGTAGCTGTATGAATTATATGAAAAAGAGCAGAACAAAATCAGCTAGGCACTCAGCCTGTGTTTGAGTAGCTAGCCATGGTGAAGCAGAGTGAACTAGAACAGGATCATCTTCAGCCCCACGTGTTTCAGAATTCCGGAAATAAAATTTACATTTTGAATAATGATGTTATATTTATTTTCAGACAACAGCTGGACACTGCTCCTATAATAAATATCCCAGAAACTGTATTGCAGCAGAAAAAAATGAAAACATATTAAAGGATGTCATCACTTTCTTTTCAAAGCCTACTAAGAGGCACATGGTAAGACCTGTCTTTTGGCATCAGTGGGAAATGACTCTATGAATAAACCTTAAGAAAAAGGTGTATCTTATATAATGAAGTCACAGAGCCATCTTCCAAGGATGTGAGGTGGCACCTATGATAAGTTCAGGGTAGTCATAAGTGACTTTAGTGAAAGGAGTGAGAACTGAGCAGAGAAAGTTGATTAATGACACATTGCTGAAGTCAGGGTGGATAACAGGCACCTACAAAAAACTGCCAAAGGGGTATGGAACTGAATGAGTTGGCAAGCAGGATGGCAGAGGAAATTCAGTAACAAACAGAAAATGATGCATCAGGGAAAAACAGGCTTTATTTTAATTAGATGAAGTATGCAGATGAGATTCATTGTCTTTTCCTCACCAAAACAGTGCCATCAAACATAACTAACAGGAGCTAGGTAAAAAAGACCCCAAATGTTAAAAATAACTGAATTACAAGGAAGACTATACAGTTAATGGGACTGAAAGTCAGTAAGAATTACAAAATATAGGAAATAATTTTTGGCTGGGGAGCTATTAAAAATATTTGGGGGGCTGGGAGAGTGCCATACATGTGTGGCCTGTTCCAGCTCATCCCTCTGTGCTCACAGACCCTGCTGGAGATCAGACACTCCACTGCACAGTCCAAACCTGCTATTTTAGCACTGCATTGCTGAGGCTTTGTCCTCAGAGAAATCTGTTTCCTGCACCTTGTCTTTGATTAAGTACAACGTTGTTTAATCTGTCACCTTAAAAAACAACCAACCAAACAAAAAATTATATATCTATATAAATAATATATATCAATAGATATAATATATAAAATAAATAAATATATGTGATATAAAAATATATTTAAAAAAACATTTTTAAATATTAATTTGGGACCTTTAAGTAAGCACCTGACAGGAAATATCAGCCAATGATTGCCTGCAGTAGAATATCCAGTAATATTCAGCATGCTAGTCTTGGATAGAGAATAATGTTAAAGATATAATAAACATAATTACATACTGCCTTGTGTTTTTGTCTTCTCCAAAGCTGTGTGAAATGGTGCCAGTTGTCAGTGTACAAATGTAAGGATGAACCAATTACACTGTTTGCACTGGACAGCATAGAGTTACTGTCATTTATCATTATTGGTAAAAGCTAATGTGAAACAACAGTGTAAAAACAAACCCTAAACATATAAACAAATGATGGCACTTGTTCTTCTTTAGTTTTAAAATAACTGATTTTTTAATAAAAATGACGTGTTTTGTATAACAACTAGGTTGGTCTCTTGTTACTGTACCTTTAACACCTCTGGAATGACAGTGATGGATGACAACCTTAAGTTATACCCTGAGTTTTCAAAAATAAACATGAATACTTTTGTTTTAGTCAGTTCCTATTGTCTGTAATGCTAAGATTATATAGTTGATAAAGTGAAGTTTTCATCTTTCCCTCCCTTGTGCAGTACTGTATGAAAAATGACAGCCTTTGCTTACAAATACATTGCACGCTGGGAAACATGGAAAGTGGAAAAGAAGCAACTGTTCACTTGCATCTGGAGGCTACTCCTTTACTTTTACAAATGGTAACGTGAATTTTTCATACTTGAGGGGAATACTTCAAGGCATATTTGCAGTATTCCCTGCATATGAATTCTAGGTGTTTGTATTGGTTTTCTAACAGTGAAACATGATTCAAACATGATTAAATGTAAATCTTTTAGGTTTTAACCTATTTTATGTTGCCAATGCTAAGGCTCAAGGTGATGTATGAAAAACAAAAATATGTGGTTTAGTTTGTCACTTTATATTTATGGTTTGTATTGCTTTGCCTATTCTGGCTGGATTATGTAGGATGGGGATTTAATTTCAACTCAGAGTTGTATTTTTCTAAGAAAAGCAGCATGGATGTGGACTTAAGTAAAATCCAACCTGGCTTAATTCCAGCTTCTGGTACTAATTTGTTTTGTGCTGAAAAAAAGGCACCATTGTGTGTTTGTGTGAGATTCTGGTTATGTCAGCAGCTGTGTTATCATTTTTGCAGGGCAGGAATCAATGTGTTATTTTTTTTTAAATATAATTTTTTTTTTTAATCAGGATGATGCATCAGTATTGAAGTTTGAAGTAAGAGCAATGGCCTGGCCAGAAAAAAACGAAAAAGTTATTGAACTACATAAGGACAAGCAAGTTGCATATGTAAGAATTCTCTTATGAATTTGTGACAAACATGTTGAAGTAGAAAAACTAACAGCAATTAGTATTGTAGAATTCTATACATACCTATATAACAGCAATGAAGATAGTGTTCATTACTTTAAAAATTAATTGATTTTCCTAGGGCTTTTTTTTGTATCTATTAGGGAGAAAGCCCCTACAGTTGACACTAAGCTTATTTTCTGTTTTTCAGGTCTATTTGGAAGGAGTGCACCACCAAAAGCCAAAATACCATGTGACTGTGCTAATTATTTCCCTAGGCTTAATAGTTGGTGTTACCTTGTTACTGGTTCTTTCATTTATATTATGGAAGGTAGGTTTTTATTATTCTTTAGTTGCTTCAAGTCTGAAATTCATAGTGCTGAAGGATCTAGGTTAAAGAATAAATAACATTTTATTATGATCTGTCCTTTCTGAAGAAAGATAATTCCTCCTGTAACTTGGGGTTCTTCAAAAGTATTTCTCCATTTTCTTCATTCCATTTCATCTTCTGCATGTTCTACATTTTCTCAACACCATTAATCTCCTTACAATGTTTTATATAGCATCTCATGTTTGCAAATGATTTATGTATATTAATGATATCAAATGGATCATTTTTGTGGGATGGTGCTTGACATTTAATATCACTTGACAGATGATGACATAGTTTAAAGCACGGTTTCATACCAGTATAAAGTGTTTAAGATTTCAAACTGCAAGATAAATACTAAAAAAATTCTGTACCTAAGTAAAAGAGAAAACTAGTAAGGATGCAGATCCTCTGACATGTGATTAAGAGATTGTGAACTTCTTTACCTACATCGAGACTTTCTCCATCCATCATTTTTACAGGGACATGTAGAAATGAAACAAATTTAACAGGAACATTTTATTACCCTATTTTTAAAAATACTGGATTCTGTGGACTGTTAAAGTTCAAAAGCCCAGGTCTTTACACCATACAAGAGAGCATTAGCCTCCCAAAAAGTAAAAGAAATAAAAACAAACCTGTGTTTTTGATTGAGTAACACTTGATTACTTGGTATAACAAAGCACTGGCAAATACCATATTTCATAAACATCATACATGTGCATTTTTATTTTAGTTAATCTTTTATGGTTTAGATTTGATGACAAAGATTTGCTAACAGCAGATTCCAAATTATGTATTTCAGATTGGCTTTTTCAAAAGGAAATACAAACCAGTCCCTCAAGACGTGAACAGAAGAGACAGCTGGAGTTTTAAAAGTGGGAACAAAGATGACTAAGATGGCAAATAAACGCTGGATTTTAAAATGAAGACATTAAAATTCAGATTAATTCACAGGAGAAACATCAGCACCAAGAAACCTAGGCCTTGAGCTTACTTGCTCTTACATAACGTGCTTTATTTCCTTGAACTGTATGGAGGATACAGCTTACAGTACTGTTCTAATACGAAAATGGTAAAACAATTTGTTCTGAAGTCTCACAGGAATATTTGAAATGCCACATATATATATATAAATATATATATATGGTTTCAAACAGACAGAAGAACACTAAAGATAAAGAGAAGAAGAATTATTTACCAAAAGGAAGTATTTTTAGAAAATAATTTTTGGCCAATCCTGGAAAGTAAGATCTTAAAAACATTAGCATGTGTTATTCTATTATTTTAAATGTTTCAATAATATTTTGATCAGGCATTCAAGAAAAAATCCTCTCTCACCTTGGTCTGGCATTTTACCAAGGGTAAATTAGCTCAAACCCATAGGACTGTAAGTAGAACACACAGACATAGAAAAGGGCTCTCAGAAGCTCAGGGCTTCTGCAGGTAACCTCATAATCTTTGGCTTCACAGGCACAGCCACATCACTGAAGGTACTTGGACACCTAGGCAGGCCAAAGGTGAATTCAGAGCAGGGAATTGTGTGGGGTAGCCTGGAGATGCAGCTGTAGAAAGTTAAAGTATTGAAGATCATAATTTGTAGCCATCTATAACATGGTACTTGCAAGCATGATAGAATTACTTGTTTCATCCTTTCCTCAGACAGTGCTGCCATAAGGTTTTGGACTTATCCAATGAATTATTAATATGTGGGGTTTTTTTAAAGCAAGTATTTATTTTAATTTATTTGAAGATTTTTCTATAGTACTTATAATAGAATTTAGTGCTGGCATTCTTCCAGAACCTGAAAAAAAAGACAGGCTTCAGCAGACAAAACAGAGAGACCCTAAAGACTCCAACTGCCAACTGTAATGGGCCAAATTTTAGAATAAGTACTTTAGAAAGTACTTAATAAGGAAGTCACTTGGAGAGCCAGCTTGGGTTCTTGGGAAGGTGTCAGATAAATACCATCCAAATAGGACCCTCAGCAGCCACTCGGTGAAAGGCAAAGAACTGAAGAGAAACATGGATCAAACCACTGCTCTGCTACTCTAGGAACCTTCTGCAGCTAGCTAAGTTTGCACTGCCACCTAGCTTTGCTCAAACAGCACAAGCCACAAGGGAAAAAAACCTTCCTTTGCTCCCCAGAACAGCTGGAGAATGCCGAACTTCTTCAATCACTGAATTGGCTGCAGCAGAAGGACAGAGTATGGCCATGAGCCTGGGCCTTGGATGTCTTTCTGAGCTGCACCAAGAAAGGAATGTATCTACAAATGCTTCAAAGCTGCACCATCCTACGGGAATGAGCCTGAAACTCAAGCCCCAGTGAGTGCCTTCAGCAAGCACTTCTGCTGCTGGAGTGCTTGGTGCCATAAAAGCCACGTTGCCCACAGATTCCAAAGGTAGTTGGGACCATTTTGTAACTTCCTTTCACTTCATTTGATGCCAAAGATGTGGATCACTCCAAAGTATGCTTTCCTGTAATATCTACAGTGCAAGGACAAATGAATGTGCATATATTTTTTTAAAAAGTCAAAGTATGTCAAGAGTAAAATACTTTCTTGCAAATCTATGTAAAAACTGTACCAAAAAATGCTTACCTTCCACATGGCTTTAGTGAATTTTTGCACTTTAACCAAAAAAAACCTTTGAACAGAAATTAGTTTGACATTACAGCATACTGTGAAAAATATACCTCAAATACTGGAATAAGCATTCATGTTCTTTTGAGTACAAACAATGCAAGGAAGTGAAATCAAAGCATTTTATTTATCTTTGAAACAATTTACATAAGTCATACATGTGATAATGATGCCTTGGAAATTGTACACTTTCTATTCAGATTTGATTGTTAACATGTAAATGTTGGCTGTGTTTTCTTAGGATAAGAAGCAAAATTATGAAGATTTTGTAAACCAGGTTGACAAAAATTGTACAGTGTCCTGATGGTGGCAAGATTATAAAGTAGTACTCAGTTGCATTTTATTAAACAAAACCCCAAACAAGTTAAACGTGTAAATGCTGTTTGTTTTGCAAGTTCAATTCTTTTGTTAAATTTCATTTAATAAATAACAGTTAAATCTACTAAATGTTACTCGAATGGCTTTTTAGACAACTTAAAGAAGCTTAGTTTGAATTGCCTTAGAATGTAAAAAATATTTGATGGGACAGAGTATCAACTTGAAGTGGAGACTGCTTCCTGTGACTTGGACAACAGGTAACAGCTTGGGTTAAGGAGCCAAATCCTCATCTGCAGTACTTAGTCCTGTGTATTTATCACAAATATTCATTTTTACAACTCTTTAAAATCACAGTTGATTTGGCAACATCATACAAGGGCTGGATTTCATATTACACTCGCCTGCTTCCTAAGAAAGCACCTAAAACAGCTCCTTGCCCTGACATAATGCAGCTTCCACACCACTGTTTGTGCACTGCCTGCAGGACTCCTGGAGGAGTGACAGGAAAACATTCGCTATCCCCGGTCCTGCACGCCAGGAAAAACAGTTGCTACTTTTTGTCTCAAAAGAAGCCAGTTCCCAGAAAAAATACAATCTTAATTTGCTGCCCTCTGAAATAATTGTCTTCAATATTAAGTAAATTACAAAAAAACCCCAAACACTCAAAAATTATGGCTATGCCCTACGAGAAAACTATAAAAATTTAAGTCCACTCTTAAGTTATTTATCACAACTTTAGTCTCAGCAACAACAAAAACTATGGTGAATAACATTTCAGTTCTAAGAGAGAAAATATTAATTTTATACAAAGAGCAGTTTAAAAAATACATTTTAACAAAGGAAAGCCATATAGGACATCAGCATATTCTATTATTTGATTAGAAACATTTTGAGAGCAAATATATTAAGGCAACATTAAAAATTTTAACTAGAAATAGAAGTACTTGGTTAAAAAAATAAATGCATACATTTTTATTTTGCCACCAATCTTCATCTAGAGCTGGTGAGTAGAGGCATGGTTCTTCCCTGTGCTGAACTGAGTTACCTGACAACATGGATAGCAGCAGCAGACTTCGAAGTATCTAATCCTAAAAAAATCTAGACTAATGAAAAAAAAATTTATTCTATTCTGATGGACACTTCTCGAACCCCAAATTTGTAAGAGACCAATATAATCAATTTTCATTTTTTCTTGTTAAAGCCTAACATCTTCAATACAGTTAAATAGAACCTGATAAAAAGATATCATTTAGTAAAAATTTAAACACAGAAATAGAACAAACATCCCAATTAAGTGTCTGCTACAACTGACATCAGTACCAACCCAGACCTTAGAAAGCTGTGCATAGGGCTGAGAACAGGATTTTTTATTACAGAATTTCCAGTGTGTCCCTTCTAGATGCAGTTGCACGTCACTTGGGAACTCTCCAAGTCATCAGTGTTCACTCCATAGAGATCAATAAGTTGAGGGTGCACCCTGTGAAGCAAGGAAGTCAAACTTTAAATCAAATGTCATCAATTCTTGCAATGGGAGTGCTGCTTTTCGAGGTTGGTGAGAACGAATGTTTATGAACTTTTATATGGAAATAAATCAGGGTGAATTACATTTTGACAATTCCTATAGGATCATCTTTAGAAGAATATATTATATATCCTACAACATGATCTGCCTTTTATTTTACATACCAGACTTACTCTGAGCTGTGTGCCTTCAACTAATCCTGTGTGCATTGCAGAAAAATGAGCCACTGCCCACTTAATTCCACAGAAAATCCTCCCATTTCCTGTGTATTTGTAGTCTCATTCTTAGATGCTAGAGACTATTCTTAGATATAGAGACTATTCTCATGCAGCATTAAGTTTTCCACAGTTGAAGAACTACATGTTTTTCTTAACCTTACACGTGCTGCTTTCCAAGTAGGAATCCTTGTCCCAAAAGGACACTCATGGAGACACTATATATATGTGTTCTCCAAGAAATGGAAGGGTAAAGTAATAGGAAAGAAGAAAGAAGTAGTAGTAAAGTAACAAGAAAGAAGAGAACTGGAGTGGAAGCTGATGAAGAACCAGGATGGAAAGGCCATGTCAGTCATAACAAACCTTTCCAAAGATGAGCACAAGGCAACCAGGGCAGGGGCCCAAACGATGGTGGCAGGGCCAGACCCTGCAGTGCACAGCAGCTCTATTGTAGGAGCATTTAGAACACCTAACTCTGGTACCATCTGTGCTCTACAGAGATGTAACACAGCCAAGATTGCAGCACTAATCTGTTATGGGTATTTGGTCCCTAAATGAGATATTTAACCTTACCGAACATGAACTTCTGATGCTTCCTTCATTAAGTCTCCATCTATATTCCAAGGGTAGTTTCCTTCTGCATTCAGACACACATTTTCCTTGGCATCAGGTCCACTTTTAAGCTTTGGTTGTACTTTTACTTCTCGAACTGTGTAGGTCTCAACAAAGGGAAAATTGAACTAAACCAAATACAAATAGACAGCAAATGAAGATGAAAGATACAGGTGGTAGCTCAGAACAAAATGGGTTACTTGAAATTAAAAAGCTGGGGGTTTTTTTGTCCTAAGTGGGAACATTTAACTTAAGCTTTGACCACATGAGCCATTATATATTCCAGCTAGCATTTAGAGATTAGTCTGGTGTTTTTATCCTAAATATGCCTCAGGAAAAAATAGTATTGTTCCATTTGTATTCCCATATTGGACTTGATCAACCTGTAGGTAAGGGGGTTTATTTCGTGTATACCAAATACTTTCAGAATATGTGAAAGTCCTAGCAGATTGTTTCCTGTGCTCTGTTCATCATTATCAGTAACCTTGTCCTAAACCAGGCTTGTTAGGATTCTAGTAAATGGTTGTCTTAAGCTTAAAGGAGGGCCCACATCTCCTTGTCTGATTTGTAACTACAAAGGCAGAGAGAAAAGCATGGCCTTCCTCCAAAAGCCTAACTGGAAAGTTTAAGTTACTTCCTCAGTTCAGCCATTAGTGCTGTCGCCTATCTCTCCCCCAAACTCCCTGGCTGCAGATGAATTCAAACCCAAACCTTCCTGTTAAAATGATTTCACATAATCCCAGAACATTTGAATGAGTACAGTGTGCTTGGGCCATGCAGTGGGACTTTAGACAGCAATAAGATTTGTGTTTGAATGCTTCATTTTTCTATTCCAAGACAGAATTATGACTACAATTTTGAAATACAGTTCTGCAAACATTGTAACTAGATGGGATGCATACCTGCTAAAAATCAATGCTCACAACCCACTGCTACCAGCACAGCAGTGACCTGCTGAAATTACCAACTTTACCAATTTCTGACAGAGTTGTGTGATGCCCCTGCAGTTCTGCATTCTTCATCTCTGTACTACACAAAATTCAGACACAGCATGCATTTCCTCATTGTGGTGAAAGGGCTTTACACCCGTAAAACTATGGTACAACACAAACACAATTTAAACCACAACAGATGGACTGAAATAGGCTAATCTGTATTAGTCTAGTGATTTAAAAAAAGAAAAAAAATCAGATAAAAAGGGGCTAATGTATTCTGACAGGAAGCTAAGTCTCCTTATGAGGATGCTAACATTAACTCTTGCAGCTTGTCTACTTTCACGATTAACTGTTCTTTTTGTAATCACCAGAAAGAAATTAATGGTACCTGATTTTTTACACTGGTGTATCTTTTCAGATGCTTTATAAACTCTGCTCGAGAAGTATTTTGTACAACAATAAGAGCCATGCTTCCATTATTCAACCTGAAAAGCAGACCAAAAGGATAATTCAATTATTTGGAAGTATAGCAGGCTCTTCCATAGCCTAGATTAGAAATAAAATCTTTTAAAAGCCGACAAGAGTAAATTAATAATATAGTCTCAATGGTTTTTCAAATATTTTTGCTGACCCCAGCCCCATAGATCAACATAAGTTACACACCGAAGTTATTCAGCATCGATATAATTATAATATACATTGTAATATTAACTCATAGTTCTTTATCAATAGCCATAATTTCTTGAACACAATACATACAATCTAGAAAAGCTTGCTTTTTACTTAACAGATGGTTTTTAAACATCGGGGATCACAAATTTCTCTTTTTACTTTTCTCTCCAGCAACATGTAACAGTTACCATAAGTGCTGTGAGGCAGAGCTGTACCCAGAAAACGGTGCCATGGTGCATGGAAGCCCCCCCAGCACAGACCCAGGGCAGATGGGTTCCTCACCCCCTCCACCAACACCCATGCTGCTCTAACAAAGGCTGCTGTCTCCAACACACACTCTCTTAGCAGTTCTTAGTACGGTTCTATTTTTATACATTTCACAAAACAAAAGTTAAGGACTGAGAATTTTATACAAGATACAACAGTCATGTACTAGAGAGTAAACAAGAGCCCCCACAGTGCAGATACTCAGTGGCTCTCAGTATCCAGTCATCATGAGAACTGGGGTCAGACAGTGAGCCAATGCCAGTTCCCCCATTCCCCACTGGAATGTACCTGGACACAGAAGCTAACAACTGGAATATCCCTGCAACCATGCCTAAAGCTCCATTTGAGTTATAGAGGCAGATCAGTGTTCAACAAGAGTATCTGATGAACATAGAAATCCCTGCTGAGACTCCCTTCTAGAGAGATGGTGTGTGTCCTACCTTCTGCACATACAGGCACACATTTATTTATTTATTTATTTATTTATTCAGCATTTATATTTGGAAAATATCTTGAGTGTTTAAAAAAATTACTTCCAGCCTACCAGCAGTGAAAGTGATAGTTCAGAATAGCTACTGAACAGCTGCATCAGGAATGTTCTCTGGTAACAGCACTATCTGGGAGGGTAATTGTTACATAAACATTAAGCCAGTCACCTGGCACAGCAGTACTTTGCTGATTCAGGAAAGAGTGATGATGACATTTAAAAAGTCGCCTCCTTATCATATTTGTTTCAACAAAAGGGCACAGCAGACTACTGGGCATTCAGCATGAGGGCCTTTCATCTTTAGAAATGACTAAGAATTTCATTAATTCTCCAGGAAGCCCCATCTGCAGTGAAGCACAACACCTATGCTGTTAAAAACACATCCCACAGGGTTCACATAGCACAGAGTGTTAAATGTATCTGAACATGGCTCTGCAAATTTAGACCAGTGTAACTGCTGTTACAGGCAGCAGCCAAAGCTTGCATCCCACTCCAAATGTCTTCACAGGGCAGAAACCCCTTGGAGACAAAGAAGAGAGAGAAGAAACCCAGATGAGTTCCTTCCATAGTGGGTCTCAAGTCTCTAACAATCAGTGCCATGTTTTTGTTTCCCATATTGAAAAGACTTACAGTCAATATAGTGTTCACTATGACAAAGGAAGCTCCTGTTTGAGTCTACCCTCCTACTCTACTAGCTGACCACACTTTAAGATTACTTTTAAAAATAGATGAAAGAACAAAGGGTATTCTTCCACATAAAAAAATAGGGAGATCACTGACCAGCTACACTGGGAGAAAAACTGGCTCATTCAAACCTGCAATAATTGCATGGAGTCGTCACAAAATTCCCTGAGAAATGGGGAAGAACAGATAGAAAGAGAAAGTAAAGCTAAAATTCTCACCAGAATTTTCCAACTGACTGGAATATAAAAACACTAAATACAGAACAAAGCTCCTAAGACAGGACATCATCAGAGCACTATCTTGAGGACTGTGAGATGAGCAAAACCCTGGTAGCAAAGAAACTTCCCATAAAGCGTTTAATCATAAATAATTTGGTTCTACATCGTTTCCAAGAAGTCAAATTCTACTAGATAAGCCAGTAAATTTGAAGAAAAACACCTCATCAATTCTTCTCAAATTTCACCTAGTGACAATCTAATGAAACAAAAGAGGCTCATTCCATAAACTTCCCTGAGTGCTGGGGTTTTGTGGTACACCTTCATGCACACACGAGTCTCTGCATTCTTTTTGAGGGAGTATTTTGTACTTTGCATACAACTACAAGGTTTGTGTTTACTATTCTGCTCATTTGCCAACTGGACACAACAGGTACAAATATTTATCACCTAAGACCTGCTTCGGTCACCACAAACCAGGCTCTCAACAAGGATCTAAAGGCAAAATGAGGCAACATCAACAACCAGGTTACATACTCCTTTGTTTCCCCAAACTCTGCAAGTAGAAGCTTCATTTCTCAAGTTCTGAGGGAAACCAAACAAAAAATAATAAGAAAAAGACAGGTGTGAACTTTAGTCGGTAATAGCATGAGAAAGATTCATATTTCATTTTTTGTAGCTGTAGAGCAGAAGACAAGGGCCACTTTTATATTTGAAAAAATAAAATTAAATCTAAGGGTGAAGTTTCCCCATAAAGCCAAATCCTATGACAGATGACTGCTCGATGACTACTACTTAAGTCAGACTTGCCAACTAATTTAATCACAGCAATTATCCACTCATAATTCTAGTTAGACTGCTTGACCTTATTTGCCTGATCCAAAAACTGATTACAATTCCTGGGATTATCGAGTCTGCTGCAGTCTCTGCTCCCTCCCCCAGTCCAGAGGGACTAGACTACCTAAACATAGGCTCATATTCTCGGAAAAGCCAAGGTCTTAAGGTAAGATGTCAGAATTTATAGACATGACTAATTCTCTAAACCCGTACTGACCTCGTATTAGGTGCCAAGCCTCTTGGTGCCATTGAACACAGACAAGGGATTGCCATAATGCTCACATTCAGGAAGTGACCCTGAATTTTCTGCCATTGATCCTTGCTACCTAAATATAACAGAGTAATTCTGTATTACTCCAGTTAATCAGCCATGGTTCACTTTTTAAAAAATCCTAAAACCAGAAACTTACCTATCTTCATTCTCTCTTTGTTCTTTCTAAAAGGGTGGAAACATATAGGTAAAAAAATTTAAATCATTTTTGCACATTTAAGCAACACATACTTTATAAAAAATGTAACATATTAGTGGAACTGAACAAATCAATAACACTGACTGGAAGACTGCCTTGTAACAAAATCCTGTATAATAATTTACAGGAAACGCTTTACAATATGTACAAGTTTGCAGCCATCAAAATAAATATTTTTTTAAGATTATATCACCTGTTGATTAAATTTGAACAAAGTAAAGAATATATTCAATTTTATCCTTGAAAGACGTATTTTTGTTGCTTTGGAATGTCTTGAGTCAGTTTTACTTACCTGTCGTCATGAGATTCTTCCTGCTGAATTTGTAGAGGGAGAAATGATAATTCACATTCCTCTGGCCTAGAAAAGTATTGACATTTACTATGATGCAAACCAATATTCTGACTGTTAGACAGACTTTCATCGAAGTTAAGATGGTTTTAAGGAGATTCTGAATATAAAGAATGTATCTCCTCTTTAACTTGTAAAAGGGATATACATCACATCTGAGTTAAATCTGTCTGCAATAAAGATAAATTACTGCTCTCTCTCTATCAGATTTACTATTCCACTTTCCTCAAGAAAACAAGAAATACTAGGAAAAAAAATAACACATCTCTTGGCATACTTGAGATCTGCCAGCGTTTTGATGAAAGCAAAATCCTTCCTCTGACTGGAGGGCATCCATCGGTGCTTCTCGGCCAGAGCCAAAGTCCTCGCCCCAAAGCCGAGCATGGCCGAGAAGCCGAAGCGCAGCAGCTTGCCCGGGGCGCTGAACGTGCACACATCTACGGCCTGGGTGTGTCCTGACATTTCACACAGGCAACAGGAAAACAAACCGGCATCTGGGTTATTCCATATGACACACAACTCACCATTGCTTTTTCACCTGCTTTAGCTGGGGGAAAAAGTCCCTCCAGACTCCTCTCTCTCTCTCTCTCTCTCTAGGTTTTACTAATCAGAACCATAATCAATCTAGATGAAATTAAGACTCTATCAAAGTAGTCATTTCAGATGCTTGACAATGTTAAAGTTATGGTAAAACATTCAGCTACTTCATAAGGCTGCTAAGGGTCTGACTCGTAATTCTGTGTACATTTTCAACAACTAGAATCAAGGAAAATGTAATATCACTAATATTTGCATAAATCTCTGCAACCATTTCATCAAATATATGTAATGACTGCACATTGTGCTGGAGGATATATGGGAACTCTTAAATAAAGGTTTTAAATGTATTCATGTTTACAGTTATGAAATAAACATATGATTCTGTTCATGATAGGATATATACACCTTTTCTTTAGTAGACCCTGAGCATCTTCCATTGGATTTAATGTCTCTTATTTTTAAAGAAAGGTTTAGATTTTGCCAGTAAAGGGTTTTGTATTATGACTTAAGAAATAGAGCAAAGCCTTCCAATATAGGTTACAGTGACACAGCAAAATGCTATGCCTTTACTGAGCAACTGGTCATGACAAACTTCTACATGCTGCTGTATTATTTATAATCTGGCAATGAATGTAAAAATATTTACCCATTACAATGTGCAATGTTGCTGTCACTGCATGTTTAATACCATAGAGTGTATGGGCCAAAATATTTGTAGTACCTGTAAAAGTGAACAAAACCTGCTCTAAGAACATGAGAGAGACAGAATAACAAGAACAAATATATTCAGCATTTTTAATCACAACATTTTCAAAAAAAAAGTTTCCCCATAAATTGACATAAACTGACTTGTTAACAGCAGAAATGCTGAATAGTATTAAATTACAACCTTTAGAACTTCCAGAGGTCTATAAAATCTCTGCAAATTTATTCATAAGTGCCATAAGAAACAAAGCGGGGGGAGAAACAAGCTCTTCAAAATATTGCCTGTTTGGGTTTTTTTAAAACCATCTCCTTAATAATCACCTCTTATATACCCAATTGCTGTACTAAGGAACTAGAAGGTAGATTATCTAATAAGATGTATTTGGGGAATACTTTTAGGTTGGTAAAATAATACCCAGCGTAAAACTGTAAATTTTCCAAGCCAAATTATATTTAATCTAGTCAAAGATAGCTGCTGTGCTTCTTATTTTAGATTCTTAGAAGAACTAGTGAATAAAATTAATTACTGCACATCAGCTTCATAAACAAGAACTCAATGAAAAACAGGGAAGGCAGATTGTGGCATCTGACAAACAGATGAGTTGCATTCAGTGCACCAAAACTGATCCATCTCACTTCTATTTGCCACTGCCTGGACACTGCAGCCAGTCCTTCTAACAACCACCAGAGAGAAGAGCAGAGCACGTTTTGAAACAAGAGAGTGAATAAATCAGGCTGCAAATAGAAGAAAAAGTCAAAACCCAGCTACATCAGCACAGAGTTGAACGAGTGAGTGAAAAATCAGCTGTCAGTTTGTAAAAGAAAGAAGCAGAGTCTGAAGCCCATGACTGGTGGTGATTGATATGTCAAGGCACTTTACCTGGCTAAGAAAATTGAGATATATATGCAAATTTTGCCCTTCTGCTTTAATGCCTAGGACATAAAATACCGTGCATCAGCTGACTTTTGAATATAAATTTATTTTTTAAAACATGAAGGACCAATTGTGTCTTTCCTAAATGGGTATAGGTTTAGAAAAAATTTAAATTTTTTTTTTTTCATTTCTGGCATTACTTAGCCACGCAGCAGAGCAAAAGAATTCTCCTCTGGAAAAATAATTGCCTCTCACCAAACAGGCAGAATATTGACTTCTTCATATCACTGATTAAGGGACGAATAATTCAGTAACAGTTCAATTAAAATAATAAAAATTACAAAAGAACAGTTTAGAACCTTATAATCCCATATAAAAATTAGCTCACATAGATTTTCAAACTATTTTCCTGTTTGAATTATTTAATGAGCTACAGCAGCAATAGACAATTCTAAATGTTAAAGTTGCCCTAAGTTTTATGGAGAATTACTTGTCTTTCTAAAGTAGGGGAAAGCAGAGAAGAAAGGGAAAGACTATCACATGTCAAACAACAGGCACTCAATATTTAAATAAGCACTTTTAAAGCCTCATGTACCACATTGAAAAACTTTGTTTATCCCTAAATAAAATTACCATTTTGATGTCATGCAGACTGCAGAAAAAAATACTGAATTTGCAAAGATCGATGTACATAATAACAAAGCTCTAAAGGCATCATGCTATTCTTATTCAGGAATATATCTTTGACTTTTTAAAATAATTTCTCTAAATGAAAAATTGGAGTATAACTGGGAATCACACAGATCACCTGTTAAATCCTTAGAGCACCTTAGCCTCTGAACGTAATTCAGAACTTCATGGAGAGCTGCCATAACATCAGAGAGAGCAGCTCTGAGTTCCTGCTATATGAAGGAAGTGAGGAGCATCTTTTAAGGTGTACCCTGAAAAACTATAAAACGCCCTACATTTGACCTAAAAAGCAATTCTTCACAGACAAGTACATGCCCAACACTATTTCATGTTTGAATGACTTCAGGGATTTAACTTCCAACTACTTCTACTTTGCCAGTGAAGGTAGCTAAAGATATAACTCAAAAATACTCAAGTATTTCCTTCAATCAGAATTATACAGCTCTTATCAACTGTTATGAGTATGTCTCCAAAACAAAGGAAATCACACATACAAGCAGCAGATTGTTACAAGTCAGGCAAATCATGCTTACTTTCTGTATGTCAAATAGGGCAGCTGCTATTCTAAAAAAAAATAATATTTTCACTTCTCACTGAAGATCAAGTTAATTAAAGAGCACAAGGTAGAACACAGTTTGGAAGTCAAGCTTGGTGTAAGTTTAAGCTGCAATCCTGATTTAAGAGTAATTTATCAATGCAGATGGCAGCAAGATACCAAACAACCACAGCTGAAGTCGGTACCAATCTTCAAACTGAATTTAATGAGACTTAAATCTCATTCCTACTAAACAGGATAGGCACAAGTAATTGCATCCTTCTCTTAAATCTTTGGAGCTCATTAACATTTGCAGAAGTAAACAAGGCAAAATCCCACCTTCAGGACTCAGAGGAAGATAAAACAAGCTCTGTGTTCAAAAACAAAAGCACCACATCCACCCTTCCACAAGTTGAAGAACTAGACCAAGCACCATCATATTCTCTTAAAATTCCACTTAGTACATCCCTACCAGCATTTTTGATCCCAATAATGACTGAAAAATGTGCCTCATTAACTAAGTCCTATACAAGCAGGATGCCAGACAAAATAACCCTAACCAAAACAAACAAGCAAACCCAAAACATGCAGCCTTTAAAGAAAGCAGAAACTATAAAAGTTATACAAAAATTATATAAACCTTTGTGATTCAAATGGTGATTCAATAATGGTTTCAATGTCATTATTCATACTCCCAAGTAATCTCTTTTCCCCTATGCAAGCTCAGGATATTATTTACCAATAACAACTGTTCCCCTGAACACTATCATATTACTTCAGAGACCAAAAACCTTTGAAACTCATGACTTGCACTGCTCACACATTAGTAAGTCACATTTTTACTTCTCATTTCAGCTACTCAGTTTAATGTGAAAAGGTTTCTTCCATACAATTCCAGCATCTCTCTCATCAGCATTTTTTTTTACAGAAACAAAGAAGATTTTATTACTCCAACAATGTAATTCTGTTCAAAATACCAACCAATTTTCCTGATATTACAAACAACTTCCTACCACCTCCTTTCCAGCAAAAGTGCAAAAGCATCTCAGTAAGAACAGAGTATCTGCAGGTCATGTAAAGCATGACTGATGAAGGTACCAAACAGAAATTGTAGAGAAAAAAATTGTCCTTGGAAGTGCAAGCACTTCTGCAGTACAATTAACTTAATTAACCAGACGACATGAATATTCATAAGGCTGTTAATGTCTCCCCCATCCAAACAGATAAATGTGATGTAATGACTTCCTAGTCAAGCATAGCTAAAATTCTGATGAAAACTGCACCAACATTTTGGTTCTTTGCCTGAAATATCATAGAAATTAACAGTCCTTCAGTAATATTTTATTTTCTGAATTAATTGGGAATCGTGAATTTATTTAAATGAACCACTTCGGACCAAAAGGTTCATAGGCATCAGTTATAGATTGTCTCTTGTTCTGTAACAACTGGGTAGCTTTTCTAATGTCCTTCCACAGTTCCCCCTCCCCTTTCCCTGTTCCCCCCTCCGTACAGTTCCTTAGCAGTAGTTCCCATAGCAACAAACACTCTTGCTAATGGCCAGCAGTACAACTGCAGGCTTCCCCACATCTCATCCATTTGATTTGGACCACAATAAGGCAGCTCAGTAGAGTATTTCAGTAAAAACATACTCCCCTCTGGACCTCTCTCTTCAGGAGGTAAATTGTTTCAAGAGCATCTCCCTCCCATCAAGATGACTAAAAGTTCAAAATGCTGTCTAAGTATTTACTATGGAGGCTAAAACCAGATTTTAAACCACCCACATAATACTATCCTGTAATTCAGCTGCTGTTTCTACTAAGCTGGAAAATCCTAATAGTTTTGTACAATGGATTTCTGGTGGGGAAAAAAAAGTTAACTGACCAGAGTTGCATGCTGATGAGAACAGGTATCATATTTACCTGTTTCCTAACTGATTACCCCACGGAATATCAGGAAGATGGAAATCAAACAAACAACAGATTATTTTAAGGAATCTATTAGGAGTTTCTCACGATATCATTTTATAAACTGTTCTGATTGTCTTTTACAAAATCTATGCCATTCTGTGTAAGAAACAGTACGGAATTATTTTGGGTGTACAGTCCTATCTGATCATGACATATTTCCCTTACACTGAGGAGAGTAGGCACTGATGATGAGGCTCAGTGACCTACACACAACATGGAGTCAGGTGCTGGAGAGATTCTGTCTCAGCACCATCGAGATATCCAGAGTAACTGTGCTGGTAAATGGTGGTCCAATTCCTGTACTCAAATTCATTACCTTCATGTCTTTGAGACTGATGGCTCTTTTACCAAGGGTTTTTTAACTTGAGAAAAAGCTAATGTAATCTCTCTCCTTTACAAGCAACTAATGTTCCTTTTATATGTGCAAACCAAATCAAAGCATTTAAAAACCTGCTTGCTCAAAGTGACACGCTCCTTTTTTTTGTAGAAAACTATAAACAGTGATTTGCTGTTTTACTGGCTGTAGGAAATTTTTCCTTACTGGTTAAAAATGTCTGAGAAACTATGTCAAGTAGTCTTAGCAAACATTCACACCAGAGAGTAGTGTTCATGCAAAAATGCCTCTCTTGTTTTCAAGAGAAGTGATTCATATACTAGTCCAGAATCAACCCTGACTGTACTGATTTGTGCTGGTTTTGGCTGGGGTAGTTAACTTCCTTCACAATGGCTAATATGGGGCTATGTTCTGGATTTGCTCTGAACACAGGGTTGATAACATAGAGATGTTTTTGTTACTGCTGAGCAGAGCTTACACAGAGCCTAGGCCACCTCTTCCTTTTGTACTGCCATGCTGGTGAGGCAACTGGGGCTGCATGGGAGGGTGGAAGGAGACAACCAGGACAGGTGAGCCCAACTGACCAAAGGGATATTCCAGACCATATGACACCATGCTCAGTATATAAAATGGGGGAAGGGTGGGACATTTGGAGTGATGGCATTTGTCTTCCCAAGCCACAGTTACATGTGATGGGGGGCCTGCTCTCCTGGAGATGGCTGAACACGTGTCTGCCCATGGGAAGCAGGGAATTAATTCCTTGTTTTGCATTGCTGGTGCACACAGCATTTGCTTTTTTTATGAAATTGTCCTAATCTCAACTCAAGAGTTTTCCAGCATTTACCCTGTTGATTGTCTCCCCAATTCCACTGGTGGGCAGTGAGTGAACAGCTGCATGGGGCTGAGCTCCTGGCTGGGGTTAAACACAACAGCTCTCACTAAAGCCTTCCTGCTGGGCAAAGCTACACTCCAAGGAGGGCCAATACAAAAACTCAGGAGAAGGGACACACAAACCCCCCAACACAAACAAAAAAACACACCACAAGATACAAGTTAAAAAAAGAACAAGATGACTTTTTAAGAAAGACAGATTTTCACGCCTGTAAAACTGAAGTAGAGAGAAAGTAGGTTTTTTGAGCAATTTTTTTTTCAATATAACGCATACAATTTATTTCTGGAACACGATTTTAAAATGGACCCTAAGCATGAATCCAAATGAGAATTCTGCCACGAAAATTGGAGATGCAAGAAAGGAAAATCTAGAAAACAAAGTTTCCATTTGGTGTAATTCCTGTTACAAAATAAGGGTGAAACTTGATCTTGTATGGATCAGCTGAAAATTATTTTAGTTTTATTCTTTCTCAGCTTCCTCCTTCAGGCAAAGAGCTCATCTGTGCCATTACTATAAATTATCATTACAATTTAAAAGCAAGTCATTTGTAATCAATATAAATCGTTAATTTAGGACATTTATTCAATAGCTCCCTTAGATAACTGAAGCTTTAGCATCAAAAACTGCCTTTAGTAGCCAAAACTGTAAAACATGCCAGAGGGACTTAAAACAGATGACTAACAAATGTAACAGTACCTTTCCTTCTCACCTGCTGGTATTACTCCAAGAGGAATGGGGGCTCTGACAGGCTTGGACACATAGTCTGTGTCTTTCCCAGCATCTATCTGGGCTCTGAGTAGTAGCCCATGAGCAACTTCACTGACAGATCCATCTCCACCAACACAAACCACCCTATTACAAAAAAAAAATGCCAAACAGTTCAAAACAAACTTTCATAGCTGAGCAAACAAGTGGAAGGTAGCTACCCCACGCCACATACATAATGATATTTCAAAAAGCTAAAAAACATTCTTTAACAACAAGCTTGGGCTTCACTGCCAAATCAGTAAATGTTACCTGAAGGCTCCTTAAGCATTCTTATTTCTGCTTTCTGTCTGAGTAGGAGTAAATACACTTAAAAACTTACAAAGTTTTTCTTACCTTAGCACACATCATACACATAAACTGATCAGATAGAAGAACCAAACACATTTAAGTGCCCCAGACAAAAAGCTCAATACATCTTAAGTGCCCTTATAATAACAACTCACCAAAGATTACAATAAAATAAAAAAACACTTGAAAACAGCTATTTTCACACACTATGCAGGCAGTTGAGGGATTTAGCAAAGTATAAAATCCTAGTGCCAGCAATCCTTTGCACAAAGGTACTTAATCACTGCTTCTGGAGCACATAATTAAACTCCCACCTGCTGTGGCTATAGAGAGGAATGCATTTGTCTGTAAAAGCTCTGTTACAGCAAACCTTTTTCTTTCCTTGTTTTTGTTTATTTAAGTACATATTACAGTGATTCTCCAAATTAGTAAACATATTTTAATGGTAAGAATAGTAATAATACATTCCAAGCATTTATGACAGAAGCATCGTAGTTACTTGGGGAGGAATTTACCTAAATTATATTCTTTTCATAAATCTGTATGAATGAAGTTGTGAAACTATGTCCAATCATTCAACCAGGTAAAACTGGTCAGATCTTTATATGAAAAAACTCATTATGTTATTAATGTTATCAAATATTTAAATTCAATTACCTCATCTCCTTTAACATTTTTCTTCAGTTCCTACTATTATTTCCAAGCTGATTTTTAATCTGTAATTTTTAGGCATGTTTCCTCTATCTAGTTAAACACTGCCACATTAAATAAAAAAATACAATACATAGTCTGAAGAATAGAATATAAAAGTTTGAAGCATATTTTCTTCCTCATTGCAATCAGGAGTCATCGCCTTTCTTTTGACTCATTTTTGTTTATTCCCAGGCTTAAAATTCTCTGTCACAGCAGCAAAACCAGTTAATCTTTGAAGTCTGAAAAACTGTATACCCAGAAGGACTTGTGTGGATTGTCTTCTAGCTATCGAAACTTTAGAAAGCAGATGTATTTTCCTCTGATTTTGGAGTGCTGTGTACATAGAGTCCAAGGAATAACATGAAAATGCTGCTAATTTTGGTTTTTATTATTTTAGCATTAATCATCAAGAGTTGCCTTTTTGGCTGGAAATAGAGATACCATCGGGCACCTGGGATTCCCATGCTAATCAGTGAGAACCTGCTGTGCATAAGGAGCAGAAAGTCTTGAGCAAACAAATTTTACTTAGACCTTGAAGAAGGCTCCTGAAAGAAAGAAACATCTATTTAACCATCACATTCAACTTTCTTAACCAACTATTCACTAAGGATTGACTAACCCAGGCTACTCTAAATATCCGTGACACTTTAGGCTCCTGACTAGAGAAGAAATATAAGCATGGGCATTGTCTGTTTGTGTCTCTGCACAAATAGGAAAACCCAGCTGAGACAGCAGCATCACAAATGCAGTCTGTCTGTTGTCACCAAAGTTCAGCCACAAGTCAGGGGGAAAAAGCCAAATTGACAAAGTGCCTCAATTTTCAGTGTCCCTAAAAAAGTGAATAGCAAAAAAGGCAGAGTGTATAAGATATCTGCCTGTGGTCTTTCAAAATGGAATAGTAAGTGTGAATATCAGAGAAATTATAAATACAAAAAAACAGCTTTGAAAAAGAACTAGCACATAGGAGTGCTGCTTTCAGAAAGCACTGTGGCATAAACTTCCAGTTTACTGCTGCAAATCATAAGCTTCAGTTTACTTCATCTGCTGTTAACATGGAAGGAACCATAACTCTCCTAGAGAGAAAATCAAGCCCAGAAATTGTGTGTTGCTATATTGTTTACATTCTGTAATAAATAAAAACATCACGTTGTTTTGCCATTTCTACACTTCTGTGTTTCCAAAAAAATTGGATAACAAAAAAGGTAGAGTACTTAATATATATTCCCATGGTCTTTCAAAAGACTTATATTCTTCCAGCCTAGCTCTGGCTACTGGAGAAAGCCTTACAGAGGAAGTTCTCAGTGTCCATGCAAAGATCAAAGATGAAACAATTCAAATATGACTCAGTGTAGAAGATACTTGTGAAAGAGGATACAATCCAGTCTTTTTCTTCTCTATCTTGTATTCTTAAAAATACAGAGACTGAAACTCTCATGAAGCATATTTAAGAAAGCTTTACGTTTATTTACTGTTCTTTATGAATCTAAGATACATTTCAATTGTCAGTAATTAATAAATACCTAAGTATTTAATGAGAACTGAATTTCCCAGGTTTCATATATAGGAGAAACAGAGTAACTCATTAAATACCCACCAGCATAATTTTAATTGGAACGCAAATAAAAAATAACGTTATGAGCTTTACTAAAATTCATAGTCACTAACCAACTTACCCATCAAATGCCTGCAGTTCACATTCTTTAAGTACTGAGAGAGCATGTCCTTCATATTCAGTTACTGTGGAAAACATCAATTATCAGCAGATAAGATAATTTTAAATTTTTTGTCCAACCAACATAAGGAACACAGAGTAATTCAATTCAGATTAATTTTTTAAGTCATGAATGCATTCAAAGTATGAGAATATTTTACAGTTATGCTAGCTAAAAGGCCAAACATTAAATTTCAGTTGCTATCAGATACATGGCTATTTCATGCATTAAATTCAGATAATTCAAGAAGATGTTTGTTGCATCAAAATGCAAGTTTTAGCACTGACACAGTTGGTAAACTTCAGGAAAATAAGCATATACTCAGTTAAGACTGAATTACTTCAGGATCAATCAAATTTAATTGCCTTTGTGTTAGGATATGCAAATTGCTAAGTCAAAAATAAGAGGAGTTAAACACAGAAATATGAAATCAAGCCAAATACCAGTGACAACAGCATATAACACACAGAGGAAGGTGGCACAAGTATACACCAGAGTTCATAGCCTCTGGAGGAAATGAATCTGTCACTCCACATTGATGTCTCTGTGTTTGCTGATACCCTATATAGTACAGTAAATGCCAGTGGAGACAGGATAAACTGGCATACTACAGATGGCACAAAGCATCATAACTACATTTAGCATTTTCTAGGGCAGCTTTGCCAGAAGAGACAGCCCAGCTGCAGCCACCCATCAAAGATTTTTGCTGACTGACATGACACTTGCAGATGGATTTTTTGTGTAAGAATGTGCATCATTATATGCAAAATTACATTAATCTTTCATGCTTGTCTGTCCCTGGTGCTCACATAGTTCAAGGCTTTTCTCTAGTGTTCCTAAACACTGTTAAAATTATTAGTCTTGGTGTCTAAAACAATCATTCCATAGCTGTACCTGTTCCAACAGTATTTCTACAGACTATTCAAAGGCTGCTTACAAGAACTGAAAACTCCCCATCTCTTCCTATTTATACAAGCACACAAGTATGTGTGTGGATATAGTGAGTGCATATATCTTTTCTCCTAAAAAATAAGAAGGAAAACAAAATCAAAACAGAAGTGATACAATTTTTACACTTCACAGGAAAAAATTCTTTATATTGCCTATAACTAAAAATCCTCCAATGAGTATCAGCAAAGTTGTATTGCTTGGTGTTTTGAACATTTTTAATTAAGTAACTACAGTTGTTTTGATTATATGGAAGGCAGAGATTTATCATTTTGCTGCAGAAACACCTATCACTATAATAACTTTTGGGAATTATTTCCAGAATTTACTTCCATGCAAGGCCTCTCTGGAATATCAAAGCACATTATTTAAGCTACCATATTCAGCAATGGGAACAATGCTTTTATCATTATCTTAGGCTGTGTGAAAAGTGACCAATAAAAGAGTGCATCATGCAAAAATGCAGAAAGGTTCAAGTATCTTACCATTGCTTAGCTGTGAAAGAAACTCTTCCCATGAAAACATAGAGTTGGTTACCAGGTTACATGCCTTTTTAAATGAACACGATGACATTTAGAAAGTTATGAGTACAGTCTAATTAAAATGGAACAGTAAATAAGATTTATTTTGTATCAGAAAACATGCTCAGTGCTTTCCTCATGTAATGTAAGTTATGCTTACTGTTACCCTTAATTCACTCAAAGAATAAGGACATGAAAATAAAGAGGGCTCATGCCTACAGAGAAATCAATAAAGGCAGTAAAAATTACTACTGTTAGCAAGATTGAGAGCAGATCCATCCTCTTTGCATCTAATAGTTTAAGTTTGGAAATTATGTAGAACTGCTCAAGGCTTAAGATTGGGGAATTCCACGAAATTTAAAATTGATAAGAGAATAACAGAGGATCTATTTTGACACATCATGACAATAAGACAGTGAAAAAATTAGGTTTTCAGGAAAAACTTTGTGAGAACATATACAGAATCATTCAAGTAGAAAAAAAAAAACCCTAGAAAAATCCAACAGACATAAGAAAACCATGTATAAAGTTTTCTGCAGGCTTGACATCCTCCAGAGAGGCATGTATAAATCATTCTGATAGCTGGAAAAAAAGCTAAGTGTTTGAATATTTGGCACTGGTCCAATTCAGGGGGAAAAACAAACTAACAAAAAAACAACTACTCAATGTCTTTTGGTAATAGGAAGAAAGCTTATTTCATTGTTTGAGAAGGATCCAATCTCATATTTGTCAAAATTATTATCACAAGAATATTATTTAATTATTTTTGACCATTTCTAATGCATAATTTAGAAAGATTTTCTTTTTCAATAATGTTTTGTTCTTAAGTGTCAGATAACATCATTTTGAAGAAGGACACCAAAGGTGCACCTCATTTGAACAGAGTCCCACATACTCCAAAACCACTTTAACATCCTCTTCACATTGCAAACAAGAACCAAGGGCTTGGCCCTTGCACATAGAAAAAGCAATATACAATTAGTTCAACACTTCAAAACAGGGAACGCTTCCATGTGACACCTAAACATACTGGCACTCATGTCACAGACTAAAATCAATGTAACTGGTAATGATAACGGATTTTTTTCATCCAGCACCAACACCAGTTATCTGCTGGTATTTACCATAGGGTAAGCTCAAACCAATGCTATTTATGCAACTCTCAAACATTCCTTTCTGTTGTGGTTCTGCCCTAATAAAAGAGTTTGGGAAGGCTGTTATTTTTTGCCTAAAAGTCCAGGTTGTAAGTGTACATAAATGGAAGCAAAAGAGTCAAAACTAGGAAGAGAAGTGAGACAAGCTAGGATTCTGTCAGGGCTTCCTTTATTTATTTTTCTTTAAATATATGTAAGATTTTGTAAGATACTGATGTATTTCTAAAATACCAGCTGCAATTATCACAATTTGCCAGTACTTGCAGGTATCTCAACAGTGGAGTGAGATCTTGTAGAATTAATTTTTTGTAAGAGTCACTGTTCTTATCCTATCAGCCATATACCAGCTGCAGCACAAAAAATTGCCCAATTCTTAAAAGAGACCAGATTTTAACTATTGTTTCACCTTAGCTACAATTCAAACTACTGCTTCAGTTTAAATTTGCCAACTCACACTTTCTAGTGCTCTAAGCACTTCAGAGATTTGCTTACTGCATGTAACAAAAATATCCCAAAACCCCAGCAAAACACAATCCACTCCATAACATCTTTGTTATTTTTACTGAAATTATTAAAGCGTAGCACACAAAGCCATTTGGGGAAATTAAAAAAAAAAAAAAAAAAAAAACTCTAAAAAATTTAAAAATAATTAGAAAAAGTAAATATTACTTTAGCACTCACTTATTTACATACATGTCTTAAGATTGCTATATGTCCTTGGGCAGGACAGAATATTTCCACTCCAAACTTCTAAACACACAAGAAGTTTATTCCAAGAGAAGCTACAACAAAGATCTGGAAAGCCTGATCAGAGAGGAAGCAACAGCTACCAATGTACAAGACTGGCTGAGGAGAGCTCTGTCTTTCAGCACCCCACTGTCAATCTTTGGTGTTCTGAAGTGGTTTTAGTAACCTGCAAATTTTTTATTTTATATACAGTAAAAGCCAGTTCAGATTTGCTATAAAACTTTTGCACTCAACAAATTTGAACTTGGCGTTCAATGAATTTTAAATATATGTGGCTAAGTCTAAATGAAAACTATCTTCAGTGCAAAAAAATGTACAAAAGCCTTCACAATTTCAGTGAATCCACCCTCGTATGCCACCAATTGTGTAAATACTGGCCATGTTCCAAAACAGCAGGAACAGCAAGATGCACACTCCAACTTCACAGAATCCAGAACAATTATGGGAGGAAAAAGCCCAGTTCAATTTGCTTGAAATAAAGCACTTAGTTTTATGAGAAAAGGGTACCAGTGGACAGGACTTTTACTCAGCACCCACCACCACCCTCTTTTTTTTTTTTAATGTAATTCTTAATTATTTAGTTCTCAACTAGCATTGAAAACTGCAATGCAGTTTTCTCATTTTGCCTGTAGGAGGAGTGTTAGGCAGCTAATAAGCACAGTAGTATTTAAACATTGCCAAAATCACCTTAATTAAAGGATAGGCCATTAAACATTTTCTGGCTCAATTCAGAAGTTTCCTATTAAAATTTCAAAGACAAATAATTAAAAAATAAACTTGAAGTTATTTTTATTTCACTAGCAGAAATGTTTTTGAAGCCGCTACAAATTATAATCATAACTTGTATTAAAACTTTTTTTTTAAATTGTGACTAAACAAGGTTAAGTCCAATTTCTAATATGACAGCATTATTATTCTGTTCACACTATCAATCCATGCCTTCTAGGTGAAAAAATGTGTCTATGAGAATTCAAATTTATATAAAGCTGCTGGTATTCCCTCTCAGCTCAGGGTAGTTAAGAAATTATTGCTACAGAATTCTAATACAGACAATCTTTTTCCTATTTCTTCTAACGTGTCTTTAATCTTCAATTGATTTTACTTTAAATTGTGAGCTAAATAGTTTTAAAAATATATGGATACAGGGAATAAAATCAGCAAGATCATTTTCATCTACCATTATTGCATTAGTATATTCTCATGGCTAAATCAGATTTTATCAGAATAATTTTTGGCCTGCAACCTGAACTAGTTGTCATTTCATAAGAAATTAAAGCAACAACTGCAAGATGAGACCTCTTATAATTTGTTTAAGCTGAGACTGATAATTTTTCAAGTCAATTACAACAGATACAGGAAAGATTATTAGTATTGATTGCTATAGGTGAAAAATACTGAATCAATAACAGAATTACTAAGGCACTTTTTGACAAAATAAAAATATATCGTGTTGTATTAACTAGAGTTCCAAATGCAGTACTTGCAGTCAAAGGCAATAAGGATAAGCAGTAAATTCAAATTGTCTCTCATGCTGAACTATTAGTTTCATAAAGGATTAAGTTATACTTCTGAAGCAACTTACCTGTGACATCAGTTTTTATGTCAGCAAGTTTAAAAAGAGGTGCAACCTTTTCATAATAAATGTGAGTGGCTTCTCTTTTGTGGCTGCTTGGATTAACGAACACTTTCAAGGATTTAGGTCTGTTCTCAAAGCCTAGAAAGACAACAAAACAAAACCCGACTATTTTTACTGCTTAAATGTTTTTTTGATATCAGAACCATTACAAAACTTTGACAGGATAAGTAAATTACAGTTTAGAAAAAGTCTCAATTTCTTCTTGCATATGCACTACTTATCTTTAAATTACAGCATTATTTTTTTGTGTACAGCTAATAAACACTTTTTGGAACCAGAAAAAAAATGCGTATTTCATAGCCTAGTTAAACCCTGATTCAGGAGCAGGGTGAGTGTGAAGCTGGGGCACCAAACAAGACAAGAAACCCAAATATAAAAACGCATCCTTGTTGGTATTTAATATGACTCCCAGCAGGCATACAAAACTAACACCCAACTAAACTGACACCACAATCCAACACTTTTGTCTTCTGAGAATGCAAATCAAACAGTCCAAAGGAAATTTCCTCATTGTGAAAGAGGTCCAAAAATATAAAGAAATAGAAAATTGGCAGTATCATTTGGAAATCTGAGAATTATTGTTTATTTAGGTCTTTGGAGTAACAAACTCCAAGCAAATAACACTGAGAAATACTGCTGTGCAAAGCTGAACCTTGTCTTACACATTGATCCCATGAAGTAATTTTATTATATGAAATATGGCATTTTTTGAAGAGTAAATAACTCATACTATACAAATAACATTTTTCAAATTCCCTTTTCTAGAATTCCTACAATTGCCATGGTTCAGTGAGGCTGCTTTGCTTCAAGAAGCAAGTAGCAGTGTACAGTATTGCTCTTCTTCTGGTCTTTATTTAAAATACTTGATTTGAACAATTCTAAATTTTGTTTTAGTATCAGGGTAGACTATCACTTTCTTAGCCAAATAAAAGCTGGAATATATGGGAAGTGTACTGCTTTCAACATTCAAGAACAAAATCAGTAGTAACCCACAACTCTGAAAGGTGCCAAGAATGAAAGCACATTTTCCTGCCCCAGGAAGAATACTACTTCAATTTTTACAGCCACATGTACCTTCAGAGTGCCAGCAGGGACTTCCTGCAGCTCATTGCAATTACTCCACCTCAACAACTGAATAGGAACAGCTACTCAAAGAAATGATATCTAAATACTATTTCAGCATTAAAGAGGAAAGCATTTCTTAAGATCAAAATATAAAAGTCACGGAGATTATTTTTTCATTTATTTAAGCACATAAAAGAATCTTGAAAAGAAAACTAGCTTTTTATCCAGTTTGTGTCAGAAAATTTCTAAGATTTCTTAAAGATAGTGAAGGAAATTATTGGATCAGTTTGCTGCTATAATCTCAAAATTATAAAAAAAAAAAAGTATAATCATGTTTATGTCAAAATATTACACTGAGTGCCATGTCATTGCACAGCAAACTGATCCTGGAGAATCCTGAATGCCTTCAGTAACAAGCACCTGTGTTCAAAAGCATCTCTTTCAAAAAGGAGAAAAAAGAAAACAGGGAACTTGGCGAAGACTGTGGATGTGGATTTCTGCCTCAAGGACAAAATCTACCAAGATGCTTTCCTTGAGCATCTCCCGTGGGAGTAACAGGCCAGCAAGCCAGGCTTCCTGCAGCTGCAAGGACAAAGAGAAAATGGCCACAAGTGGCACAAGGAATATTCCAGTGTGAAATCAAGAAAAAACACCCTTCACAATGAGGGCAGTTACGCCATGGATGACATGGTCTGTCCTCAGAGATTTCCACAACTCATCTGGACATGGCTCTTAGCAACCTGATCTTTATTAGAAGCTCACCTGCCCTGAGCAGGAAGCTAGAACAGATAATCTCCAGAGGTCCATTCCAACCTAAATTCTTCTTGAATCTCTGGAAACAGAAAGAAGAACTGCAGGTATGTACTGCCATGGAATTTCTTATTACAGGAATTACAATACAAACAAGGAAGACTAACAAAAGCTCTCAAAGACTATTAATACATATAAATAATTATCATAAAGACATTATAATAATGTCTTAATTGAAATCTACTAACTGGTATTGTTACAGTCTTTTAGGAACTATGAAAATATTAAGACAAAAAAATAATATCTGTGACTTTATCATTTGCCTAAAGTATCAGTAAAAATCAAATGGAAAACTTATAAGAATAAGGACTCTTGTTTCAAAAGAGAAAGGATTGAACCAAATTCATAAATGTGCTGTCATGTTTCTTCTCTTATTTACAACAAACTGTGATCAGCTGGTCCTCCTAATATTCAGCCCCCCACCAACACTCAGAGCTAAAAAACTAAAAACTGACTTCAGTCATGGCTATCTGAGTATACCTTAAAAGTTATAAAAACCAAACCAAAAACACCCTCTCCAAACATACAAATATAAGAATACAATACACAAAGCAGGGGGAAAGAACAGGAAAGTACAGTTTGTAGAAGCAGAGAAAGCAGATGAAGTGTCAAAAATTCTGTTACCCAGACAGTGCAAGTTACAGTTCTGCAAAACAGACATCAGGAGAAAACTGAAGGGATAAAAGCAAACATCATGATCTCACTTCAGTGCTTCTGCATATGAGATGTAAAAATTTAACCCTAGGTAGCAATATAAGGTTTTGAAAGAAATCCTAGGTAGGAAAAATAAAATAGACTTTCAGTTGGTGGGGGGAAAAAGCCTAGATTTTTTAGGAAATGCTTGAATTTAATATTTTAAGAAAAATTAATTCATTAAACCATTCGAAACCAGAAATTATATTTATGATTATGTGTATTGGGCTATCACTGAAAAGTATATGAGTTAATACATAAATCCTAGCAAGATTTACAAGAACCAAATGAATTCACAAAATCATAGTATTAAAATATTCTCTTTATTTGAATATCAATTTACTTTTTTAGAGAGATAAAACATTTCATTGACAAAAATATTTTTCACAAACAAGGCATTTAAGCAGAGATGGTACACTACTGAAGTGGTTTTGTTTGTGCCAAATAATTGCCAACTGACATGAAAGGATGATCGTGACAAAAGTTATTACTTTATCATTCCTGGTGTGCACTGGACACGTTAGAACACACCAAAAAACTGAGTTTAATGAAAGCACATCCTGTAACAGCCAAAGATTAAACTTGCACACAATATTACTGTGAAGCTTCCTTAAAGTGTTTTTAAATAATAATCTTTTAATTGTCTTTAAACTACCTCTATATGAATGAATCAATGTCATTGACTACCGTGTGCAACCGATCCCAGTCTGGCAGCCTTTTGGGGCTCTCCTAACTGGTATTCTGTTATTGTTTTCTGTGGCTGCTCCATTTGAAACGAGCCAGCAGCCTAAAGCAGGAAGGCCAACTGTTCCCCTAGTACTAACAAATGTGCTAATATGCACTAGTTTAAACTTGATCTATCAAGTGAATCAGTGAACCATGAAGGGTGCTGGGTCAATCAGGGTGTTCAGAAAACAAAGGCTCCTGGGGCAGCAGAGACGCTGTGCTCAGACATACATCTGTGCTGCTTTCAGGCCCCAGCCTCAGGAAAATGGGTTTATGTTACAAAAGTTAAGAGCCTGGAATCATGTCATTACCACCTACATTTATAAATACTTTCTACAACATTAGGAATATTATACACGAGAAGAACTAACAATATGAGGCAGAGTTGATAATGTAACTATGGAGACACCACTGTTAATATTAACTAACCTAAGTTAATGTTTAACATTAATGGTTTAATTAAAACTTCATGCATGAAGTTTCAGGCTTTCATATCAAATCCCTGTGTGATAGATACTATGGAACAGTAGATAAAAATAAAATGAACTTTGTGCTTTTTTTGCTACTTCTTAACCACATTGTTAGTTTACAGAGTTTTTAAGTAAAGCTTTTTCAAATCCACTGTTAGTATTATCTTGTTTTAAAAAAAGGAAGAGCGTTGGCAACTCTACATTTTCTCTCATCAATCCTTTAAGAACCACTGAATATTTGCATGTGCAGAGGATTTTAGATGAAACAGTGAATCCTACTGACACAGTGTGTCCTCACATGCCATGCCCATAAACCCTGTACAAAAAGATGTGATGTATAAATGGAAATCACTGGGAGTAGGGTGTGCCCCAGCACTGACATGAGATAAGAGCACACTAGACCCTGTCTGAGCTGCCCTTTGGGGCCTTCCAGGAGCCAGACCAGAGCCAAGGCTCCAGAGGGGCATGAAAATGGCAGTGGTTCTCCTACAGCAGTTTAAAAAACATGTGATGTACAGATCAGATTTCAGGAACACTATCAGTGAGCAAGCTCTTCATATCTAGCTGGCATGCACTGGAACAGCAGCAACAGCAGGCAGAAAACAAGAACCTACTTGAATATGGGAGGATGGATGTACATATATTTTGTTACCCTGTCACACACACAGAAAGAACTGTAATAGCAGTCACTGTAACTAAATTCTAAATACTTATATCTGTGTGTGCTCACTTACATGGTAACAGGCTTCATAAAAAATTATAGCCCAGTTAAACTCTGAACACAAAGTCAGAGCAACAGAGGATACTCACTGTGAAGATAATAAAAATGAAAAGGGAAAAACCATGTATGAAACATTCATGCCAGACACAGATCATACTGTAAAAAGGAAACTGTGCACATGAAACTTCTAAAAAAAATAAAATCTTCATTAGAAACCTCTATTTGGCTCATATTATCACCAATAAACTTGTTTTTGTTGTTCCTTAATTAATGTATATGTAAAAAAAACCTAAAAACTTGTCAAAGAGTAAGGTAAATAGGTAGAAATTTCATTTCTCTGCAGAGGAAACACACCTGTCAGTAACATGCACTCCCACAATGCCTAAATATTATTGACCATATATATGTTCTACTTTGATAAATCACCTGCTTTTAATTTGATCCAGCCCAGAAACAATAAAAAAATCCTTCAAGTAAATAATGCAGCAATTAATGAAAAATTACTTTGTGGTCAGACAGACTGGGGAGGAGGGTGGGCAGGGAATTAACTTTTACTGTTTCAGAAGGATAAAATCAGAAGCAGCCAATTTGAGTTCATTAACAACGACTCCAGCACTACTACAAAAAAGAAAAAGGCTGCAGCAAAAACTATGAAAATCCATTACTGTTTCACACAGAAATATCAGCCACCAAGAAATCACCATTGTATACTTTTAGTTCAGACTTAGAGGAATATATACATTAGCAACTGGTATGATGATGGTTTAGTTGGGTTATTTTTATCTCTCTGAGTTCTGTTTATTCCTGAAGTAGAAGACAAGGAGAAAAAGTATACTGATCAGACACCCAAAACAAATCTGTACAAGGTCTGAGCTTCTGGAGAAAGACTGGAGCAAGAACTTGAAACACCATTGCACAGAACACTTCTTTTTCAGGTTCAGGTGGCTTCCAATTACAAAGCTATAAAACAGAGACTGCACCTCGAGGTCAAGGCAACCTGAGCTAGAGATACAGCAGCTTTTTTTTCCTGTGAACATATGGTATCACTGCTCCTGATATGGAGAGTATTCTAGGAACAAAACAGACATTTGCTCCTCATGCAAATGTCCTTGCCTTTATGGGTAGCTAGAGATCTACAGGAATCCTGGCACTTCTGCAGATTGAGATATTTCATGATAAAGTCTTTCAAAAGGGGAAAAGGGAAGGCACTTTTTAATATAAATTTTCATTGGGAAAATCCAAAGCAAACTATCAAAAAGCAATGCAAGAATGCACCATTAATAACTCATGTTGCTTCTTTAATATCTGCTTGTGAAACTCTACTAGAAGTGCACTACAAATCCTAATTCAAAGTGTAGTATTTACCAGCAATAAGATTCCTATCTGTGTCTTAATTTCCACAGGCAAGATGTTTCTAAGCTTCACTCAGCCTCATACATTGCAGGTACAGATAAATATGACATCAACCTCAATTAAATGCTTACCATTCAGAATTTCCTTCAGATGTCTAAACCATGACTGACAGTGATCTTCACTCAAGTTATTTAAATGGATAGCACAGTCTGTAAGCTTATTCTCTTCTTTATGCAAGCATGTAAAAACTGTGATACCCAACAAAGTACCACCTTTTTTCTGCCCTGCAAAACGACGACGTTTTAGTTTTACTGAAAACACATCTTTCATTTCAATAATCTCCTCTTGAGCCTGTAAAGCCACACTGGAATCACCTGTAAGGGAAAAAAAAAAAGAAAGTATTACTAATGTGATTGGGAGTAACAACTGAAAGTATTGTTAGGACTTCATCTATAGGTTCGCTTCTTGTATCTGTTCATGCTTGCATTGAAACTTATGGCATATAATTTCCCTCAATCATTGGTCTTTTATTTTACCAACTTTGTTATCTATCCAGCTGTACAAACAAAACAATTTCAAAGAGGTTATTTACTCAGCTTTCTGGGGTTCAAAAAAATTAACAACATTTCACACTCTAAGAAACTTTTTTTAAATTCGGATTCAAAAAGCAAATTTTTTATTCTATTCACTCAAATCATAGCAGTCATACTTGGAAATCATAGATCAGAAAGTGTGCTATGACCCAAGCTGACTATATGCTCACTATATTTTTTCATTTGATACAACCATTGCCTTTTGTGCTTACATCAGAAACATACCAGAAAACAGTTAAGCAAAAATAGACAAATAAACCAAAATTGTGTTACCCATCTTCGCTTTCATTTTTGATTTATGAATTCAGTTTAGAAGACAAGAAAAGCAATTTCAGAAAAGTTCTTGTGACAGTTTGAGATCCTGATCCCAGGGGAGATTTGTGTTAGGCTAAGGGAAGGTTTTGTTACCTTGGGGCTGTTATTTACATGGATGCTGTGCCTGCAGATGCTACCACTTCATTTCCAAGTGCCTTTTGGAGATTTATCAGCTGAGGCACTTTGATACAGGCTTCTCCCTTTTCTGCTCTCTTGAGCTGCATTCTGATGCCTCAAAAACAAATTCAAATACACAAACTGTCACCCTTCCTGTCAGTATTGGATTCTTTGGACACAGAAAGAAAACCTTCCCTGCTTTCTTCATGATCACAGCAGATCTGATAGAGCACACCAATAAAGGTCCCTTTGCAGTTCAAGGCAAGAAATGCTAGAAACCAGAAAACTTCCCCAAATCTAGCAACAGCTCTGGCAACTGGTTTCTCAATAGCAAAAACTGTAGCAGATTCTGTTTGATGAATAGTTCATACTTGCTGTACTGGAGTATTGGGAAAAACCTATTTTAATTGTCATGCAGGGGAAGATGGACAGCACATCCTACTTCACTATACTACATGAAGCTGAGGGTTTCAGAAAGTCAAATACTTTTTCTGGGCAGGAAAAAGACAACTTTGTCAATTCTTGTAACAGTTTGATACTGGCAGTTCTCAACATCATTTCTGGAAGGAGACTATGCAGTGATCACCTCTCTCTCCAGCAATCCTGGATGACTTCTCCTCAGCCAGGCTAACACAGCTAAAGTTCAAGTCAATATGACTTCTACTCACAATTCTCAAGCCATTAATTTTTTCTGTTCTGTACCAAATAGCCTGTGACAAGTAGAAGCATGACCTTGTTATACTTCTCACATATTCTTCCCAATTTGTTATACTTTATCACTCTAATATCTCCAGAAATCAGCTACTAAGAGTGTAAAACTGGACTGAAATCACATTCCACTCTTAGCAGGAATACAGTGACAAGTAAATGTTGGTGTGCATTGAGAGAGTACACAGCAAATTGTCTGTAGTGTATATTTTCACAAGTACACTGCAAAAAAACAGAAGAAAACTCACCTAATTTTTTTTAAAAACCAACATAAATCCTGAAGTACTGTAACAACTGCTGTAAAAGTATTTTTGTTCAATGTATCCTTTTAAAATGAGGGAATTGAGAGGGGAAAAATACTTTATGATTCCATTTGAACTATGATTTTGCACAAACTCAAGGTAGACACTGTACAAACAAACTTGGTACTAACACTACCAAACCCAAGATCTTAATTTTTGTCAAATTTTGTACTGCTGTTCTAAAACATTTAAGGGTAAATAGTCTTTGTAGGCCTGAAATGAAAAACTGACTGGTGGTGTCCCAAATTACCTAAAACTACATTGTTTCATACCTACATTTAAGATTTGTTTTTATATTTATAACAGAATTTTGAGGGGTCTGCTTAGGTTTTTTTTTTTACAAAGTCTCACTGTCAGAGACACAGTACACTGAAAATGCCAGCACACAACCTCAATGTTTTAGGAAAAGGAGTGAACAAAGACAAGTGAAATATAACCACAACCATTCCACAGCAATAACTGAGCTGCAAAATTCATTTCCCCAGACCAATACAAATATTCTAAGTGGGCTTGCTTTTTAAATACTTTTAAATAAATCATACTTTGAAATGAACATGAACACTCTTATGCCAATGTTATGGATGTGCACCCCATGTAAGTTACAAATATTAGCCTATTTATCCTGCCCAAGTCAAGGAAAATGAAGGCCTGATAAAATAGTTTTTATTCCCCACAAGCTTTCATAAAATGACATTTAGTCTTAAGTCAGGTAAGGTGTGCATTTTCTTTTCATTACTATTTCAGCCAGTTATTTGCTTGTGCATCTTCCTCTTACTCTGTATTTATCAAATTCTTATGTTGCTCAGATGCATATCAAAATTTTTGATATTTAAAATAAAACATTCTTACTAGGCAGCACTAGACTTTCAAACCCACTATCTGACTTTGTTTTACAGGAATACATTTCCAGATGCATTCTGGAAAAGGATATAAACTCTAGGAATGATGAACTCTTAAAAAACCATCATCCTTGAGTTTTAATTTCTAGAGGAAATGTTGAACTAGCTAGTAGGACTAGGACAGCCCATTTTTACTAAAGTCATAAAGAAATCTGCATTAAATCCTAGGCATATTCTATAATTTTCACCTTCTCTGCTTACTGAAAATAAGACCATCGCAAATGCAGAAAAATTTTATTTTATTGTTTAAAAACAACTCAGATAAAGAAAATTTAAGTCACGAGCAGTATTCATACAATATTTCTAGAATAACAACCAAGCTTACTTTTGCAATAAAGTATATATTGGATTAAACACTTTTTTAAACTTTGAAAACCGTATTGCCTCGTTAGTATCATATTGGTTATTGCGAGCAGTTTCAGGACATTAACTGTCCTCTCACATTACTTAGAAAGATATTGGGTACCATCTGTTCTTGCAAGAGATTTAAGTATACATCTATTAGATATCATGCTATTTATTTAATTCAGTACCCACTTCCCATTGTTGTATCTTCTGAAAAAAAAAAGTCAATTTAATTACAAGGAATAAAGATAATCTCTTCTACCAGGCTGCCCTGTCATCATGAAAGCAGAGAGGGAACCTGTATAAAGTAGGTTACAGGCGTTAGGGAAGAGCAAAACTAACAGCACTTAACATTTAACAAAGATCTAACAAAACCAGAATATGTGGCACTTAAAAAAAAGTTACTATAAGCCAAGGGCTTGTCTAAATCAATCTCAGCACATCTGTCTGATGTAGAGCGTAAACAGGATTAGAGTTGGATTTATCTGCTTGACGCTAATTGTACTCACAGTTTCTGCACATGTCCACTTTTTTTTTTTTTTCCAAATACAGGATGAAAAAAAAAGAAAAATCTGCCTGGTTAGATGGATTTCTAGGAAATTTTATGCCCCTATTTATCATCTCACTAATTTCAAGCAAGGAGACTATGCTACATTTTTCCTATTTATGGTAGCTGAATCTCTTATTTAACAAAAAATTATGTCTAAATCAACCAACTGAGCTAAATCAAGAGATGAGGAACAAATACACTCAAATAGAGTTTAATTTTAAATGGTAAACCAAATTTTAATTAGTTAAGAGTGTTAAACTAGGCTTTAAACAAAAAGACAAATTGATGCAAACATACACAAGGAAAAAAAGAAGTACTACTGAAAAATAGAACAGTTTTAAAGAAAATGTGATATTTAAATATAAACACCAACAATTCACCAAGGAACCACTTTTTTGGACTGTTATCTTACCACAGAGGCCCAGCACCCAGAAGTGGTACTTAAGGACTTAATTTCCATAACAAATATCTGGGGTACATGGAAAATATCAGAAAACACACATGAAATGTGACTATAATTCAAGTACAAGAATTGGACACAAAGCAAAGTGTGTTTAATATTCCCTTGGTCACAAATGCTTCCTATGACCTTTGGCAAGATACCTAGCCCTCCTGACTATAATGAATAAATAAATCTTTCACACATTTTAGGCTCTCTGCCCCACTATGTTCTCAAAGTTTACTTCCTTAATAGTTGATTGATACAGCTGAGTGTAGTGTAACTTAACAGAAATAATTAGAAATTTTTAAAAATCATCAAGACTATACCAAAGAAAATACAGTGATCAGTACTTACTAAAGAAGTGTTTTATTATAAAACATATATTATAAAATTGATCACAGATCATCCTGCACTGCATGAACACTACTTTCAAAATAATCATTTGGGATCTATAATAAAATATAACTATATTAATATAAAGCAAAAAATAAATATAATTTAAAATTAAATTAGTTTTGACAGGATGTCTATAAATCTATGTTTAGGAATATTTAATATAATGTCTAATACATATAAACTAGCACCTGTTAGCCCATCAGTTGCTAAGCCCATTTTTCCCTCACTGTAAATCAGCAAAGCACAGTAAGCAGCATGCAGCTGATTCATAAAACCTCTACAGTTTTCAGCTACTTATTGATTAAGAAAGGTTGACAGTGAGAAAACCGATACGATTATTCTTGCCAGAAAAGCCAAGAAAAACTGTAAAGCTTTTCTGGCTATTTAGCACTTATTTAAGTACTCTAAACATGAGACAGAAAAGCTATTTCAAAACACATAAATTTGGAATGATTTCTTATTGCAAAAAGATAGGTCATGCAACATTTCTGTCAAAATTTGATGCTATGCTTCTTACTCTCTTCTGCAAGCAGAGAAAGCAAAATTCCAGTTTCTGCTTGCCAAAAGTATCAAACAGTAAGCTGAGGAGAAGGTGGTACAGCCAGGGCCAGGCAGGGGAGGGGCTGGTTTTTGTTTGAAGATTAGTTTTACATTACTCTAGTCCTTTTAAAAAGGTGTTACAGGAGAAGTTTAACACAAGCAAGGCC